ATAAAAAAATAATAAAATAAATCTTAAAAAAAAAAATAAATAAAACTTAAAAATAATAATAATAAAGCTCAATGAGAACCAGGATTCGGGGTGGGCCTGGCTAAACAGACAGTAGCACCCGCTGGCTATGTGAGTTGGAGGGTAGGGTCAGCTGGGATGAGCTAGGCTTCAACACCCAATTTTATGTATAGCAGAGCTGAACGGAAGGTGGGACAGACCGGATGAGTCCACTACACATGCTGGCAGACACAGAAACTAGGGGCGAGCCCAGCAGAGGATACTGGGGGTCACTCTGACTGGGCCGCAGCTCCCGATGGCGTGCCTGAGGGCCTTCTATGTGGAGGACAGCACTGGGCTGGGCCGCCGCACCCATTGCTTTGCATAAGAAATGAGCTGGAGATAGATCTGACCTAGCAATCATAATTACCAGTGTGGACGTAGGCTAATGTGGATGACAGAACTGGACAAGGTACAGGTGGGTTCACACACAAGACTTAGGACTGAGATCACCTCGGTCAAGATTTCTTTGAGGATCCCCACAACTAAACCACAGGACTCATAACTCCAACTATGGAGAGAGTGGCAGGACCTGTGGCCTGACACTGGAGTACATCTGTCAAAACCGGACCTCCTCATTGGCTGTGACGGAGCAGTGGACGGCATTCCCAGAGGCACCTGGAGGACAGGTCAGGCCACTGGAGCCTGCAGAGGACACCTGGTACCACAGCAAAGAAAGGAGGGCAGGACCGATTGATCAACTACTCCAGTGAAGCATGACACAAGTGTCTGAGCAAACGGAGACTCAGAGGAGGACTGTGTCAGCCGATGGACCTTGGGAGGAGATCCTCACCCTTGCATCTGCAAGATCAAGAGCATCTCAGAGCTATTGAAGCCACTTGAGCAGGACCCGTGAGGCGTGCTCCACATCAGGGACCTTGGGATGACGTCGGGTGGCCGTTCCCAGCCCCGGGTGCTGAGGCGGTCGGGAGGCTGGGTGTGGCTTCTCCCTTTGCCTCCCTCTTCCCCCAGATACAGGAAGAAGGAAAAGAAAATGTGGAAACAAAGGTCTCACCCATTTCCTACTGATCCTGGACCCTTCCCACCCTAACAAACTATGTGAACATCATCAAAAACCTTTTAAATTAAAAAAAAAAAAAAACCTCGGCTCCTTTCGCCCCACTGGTGACTGTTCCAGCACCACCTGGGTACCATGTGTGCCCAAGGGATGGGCAGATGGATGGCATGAACGGTTATCTCTATGCCCCACGTCCTCTGCCACCTGGCAACCAAAACCAGAACTCTGCCCACTGAGACTAGCAGTTACCTGTGTGACCCTGGACACAACAGCCCCTATTCAGGTCTCGGCTGACTGCGGCACAAGGTGCTGGCTCCAGCTCCGAGATGGCCCCTGCAGAACCCCTGTTTCATCACAGGGTCCACACACCCCGCTGGCCTTCTCCCACCCTAGCCCAGCCCGGCCACTCTGTCTTTTCCTCACTCTTCACTTGCCTTGTGTTACCCAGAGTGAGGACCCCACAGACCCCGAGACTTCCCAACTCAGTTCTAATGCCAAGCCCCCCAGGACGGGCAAGTGACTTGACAAAGAGAAGGTTCGGGTGAGAAGAGCTTCTGGGGCCTCCAAACACGGCTTTGCAAACAGGCTCGTTCATGCACAAGGAAAATAAAATAATAAAATAAAAGTCCAGGCTGGCGCAGCCTCCCTGCCCTCACACCTCGCCGTGCTGCTCCACGTGCCTGTGACATTTCATCCACTTCCTGCATGCTGGCCCTGGGCGGCCAGGAGTCCCCAGAGCTCAGATCCTCCCAAAGCCAGACCTGCTTTCCCTGTGCCCCACTCGGTCTCAAACCCCAAGCTGGAGGACCCCGCTTAGTGACCAGACGGCACAGGCAGGGCCACCCTCACATTCCCCTCCCGTCTAGACCCCTGCCTCCACTTCCCGGCTGGCTCCAGGGCCATTCTACATCCAGCATCAGCCCCCACTTTCCATAGCACCTAGCACCCCCTGCACTGGGTCCTGGGTCCCACTGGTGAGCTCTGAGGCCCAGCCCTCCCCAGCACCCTCCTTGCGCTTATGACAAAGTTCCTTGCATCTAAACCCCACCCTGTATGGCACAGTCATGAAGGAGGACTTTGCACATGCCACGTCCCACCCCCAGTCACCAACCTGGTGCCTCCTCCAGCCTCCTACCCCCAGCTGCTCTCGCAGTGTCACCACCCCGCGTCCCCTTCCTCATCTCGGCCAGATGCCTCCCCTCAGCTCCCAGGGGAGGGTCCAGAGGCCCGTCCCAGTAGATACCATCTCCCTGCCTTCCTCCCTCCAGCCACTCTCTCTGCATCACCTTCCTCTTCTAGACCCAACTTCCAACACTTGACCGACTACACTCCCATAAGTTTTAGAGTGCAGCTAGCACTGTGGCATCCCGTACCGGATGCTGCTTCAAGTCCTGGCTGCTCCACTTCCCGTCCACTCCCTGCTCGTGCTCCTAGGAAAGCAGCGGAGGACAGCTCAGGTGCTTGGGGGTCCTGTACCCATTTGGGAGACTGGAAGAAGCTCTTGGCTCCTGGCTTCAGACCAGCCCAGTTCTGGCCTTTGCGGCCCTTAGGGGAGTGAACAAGTGACTCTCTCCTTCTCTCTGTACTTTTAAACAAAAATAAATAAATCTTGAAAAAAAAAAGCTTCGATGCATTCATGCGACCAGCCTATTTGTACATCATTTGCAAACACACTGCAGTGACAAAGGGCACGGCCCCTCTTGCAAATCACCGGCAGCCCACACCTGCTCAGAAGACCATCCCTGAAGATCGTGAGGCCAGCCCAATGTGTGCAGTCTTGGACGGCAAACGCACCGTGGGACACTTAATACCTGTCCCAGTGAGAGCTGCAAACTTTCCCAAGCTGACTCTCAGGGCAGCTGGGCACTGGTCCAGGAGAAGAAAAAACATATGAACTTGCTTAATCCTGCCACGCGCCCAGGAGGAAAGAAGTCCTGTTGTCACACCCGAATGACAAACCAGGCCCAGAGAGGGAGAATGCCTATCCCGAAGTCACACAGCACGTGTTTGCAGAGAAATCTGAATCCTGATCAGGCTTGGGGGTGGTGGACTTGGACGAATGAATGAACAGGACGCGGTAGCCAACGGAGACGCAGAGCGACAGAGACGCAGGAAGCCGCAACACAGGGGAGGAAAGACAAGGAACCCATGTCTGAGCCTAGAGAATAGAGGGGAGCACGCAAGACCCCAAGCGCGGTGGGCCCGGAGCAGGGGAGGGGCGGGAAGGCCGAGTGCGCCCTGGGGCGGGCAGCCCGCTCACCCGGGGTCTGAGAGGTCCGCGATGAAGGTCGTGCACGTTTTCTTCCTAAAGATCTTGGGGATCCAGCTCTGCGGAGGGACACGAGCGGGAAGGTCGCGTGGGGCGGAGTTGCCGGGTGGGGGGACCCAAGGCTTGGAGGACCCCAAAATCACCCTCTACGCGCCCTCCAAAACCCTGGACCGCCTCCCCACCCCGTGCCGGGTCTCCAAGGACCCAGGAATCGGCTCCCCACCCCTTCCCAGTGCGCCCCAAGAATCCAGCTGCCCAGCGCTCCATGTCTACGACCCCCCACCTGCCACGTGCCTAGGGCTCCACGCCGTACCTGCTCCTTCTCCGCGCCCACCATGCCGCCCTCCGGCTGCCCACGGTCCCGGTTCCGCGCCCGGCTCCCGACTCTCCCGAACAAACCGGATCCGCCACCTCCCAGCTCAGCCCCCACGGGGCGGGGCGTGGGGGACGTCACGGGGGCGGAGACGGGCGGCTCGAAGCAAGGACCGGAGACACCCCGGGCCCTGCACGATCGGCGCGCGCGTGGGTGCAGGGGCCAGGACTGTGGGGCGTGGGTGGCTGGGGAACGGGGACCCAGGGAGGAACTGCAAGTAGGGCCGGAACAAGAGGAGGATGGCGACCCGGGGAGGGGGGAAGAGATTCAGGAGGGATGCCAAGTGAGGGAGGGGGCACTCACACAACCCCAAAGGGACGAGAGACAAATACGAGGTGGTGGAGGGATGACAGAGTCAGAAGGAGGTGCCCGCAGAGAGAGTGAGGGACACGCAGAAGGCTGGGGAGTCCCGAGGCTTGAGAAAGAGGAGTGTGAGATTTGGGGAGGGGTACACTGACCAGAGACAGATGTGGAAACTGGGGATGGGGAGAGGTGGGAACCCGTGGAGGGGGTTGTGGAGTTCCCCGGAACCGCGGAGCAGCAGGTGAGGGGGGCGGGCTCAGTGAGCCTGCCAGCTCTGTGTGCTGGGGACAGCTGGGGCCTTGGTAACCTGAGCCCCCTCCTCCTCCTGCCCCGGCTGTATTTATAGCTCTGCCTGGCCTCGGGTCCCCTGCCCTCAGACAGACCTGAAGTCCAGAGATAGGAGGTCACCCTGTGCAGGGGGTGGGGACACGGCCCTCCCACCCAACTCCCCCACCAAAGGGTCCCATTCAGTCTGGAAACACCAGGAACTCCCCTCTAGTCCTTCCTTGATGAGGTCCCCCCTCTTGCCTACCCCAAATTATCCCAGGCTTCCCCCAGCAGGCCTAGCCCTTGTGTCAATGACATACACAAGCTGACTGGCAGTCCCGTGCCAAGCCCCTGTCCCTTCTGCGGACCAGGAAGATACCCCATTCTCCCACCCACCCCTTCCCCAGTTGGGACGTGGAGGAGCAGGAGGGGAGGGGCAGGCGGGGGCTGGCCAGGAATAACTCAGGCCTGAGAGTAAATTTAGCCACCAAGAGGGGAGGAGAGAGACCCTATTGGCTGTGGCATGGGGAGGGAGGGCCCGAGAGGGAGGTCAGGGGGCTCCCAGCCAGCCTCAGAGGGGTGTCCGAGAGCCAGGGGAGACACAGCGAGGAAGAAGAGGTCGGATTGGAAGGGGACAAGGACCCCAACGGGTGTCCGTACGGCCACGGAAGCTGCTGGAGCCACACCGGGGGCACGTCGCGCTGTCCATCCTCATGGGCCACCAGAGGCCATGGCCACAGGCTTGTTTCCTCTGGGCTGCTGTAGTCAGCCTGCTGCTCCCTCCTGCTGTGACCCAGCAGCTGAGAGGGGCTGGGCCGAGCCCCAGCGACTGGAACGGCAATGCAGACATCCCCAGGTCCTCGGAGGACATGGTGACTGAGCACAGCCACGGAGGCCCTGGGCAGGACGATGAGGATGTGTCCATGGAGGGTGGGCGGCATCTCCGGAGCTACCAAGACCACAGACGGGCGGATGGAGGAGATGGCTTTGGGAATCCCAGCCACACGGCTAGAGATGGGAGTGTCTCTGAGGGACATGCTGGGAAGGTCCACGGGCCCAGAGGCTATGGCCATGAAGGTGTGGAAGACTTGACCGAGCATGGGAACCACGTCCTGGGCCACAGGAGCCATGGCCACGTGGACGAGGATGATGTTGTCTCCAGCGAGCGTCCCCATCACAGACACGCACACCCAGGCCACGGACGGGATGAAGGTGATGAAGAAGAGGTGGAGGAGGATGTCTCCCCTGACCACAGGCACCCAGGCCACGACAAGGAAGAGGGAGAGCATGAGGGTATCTCAGATGCCCACCACCACACTCCTGGCCACAGGCACCGGGGCCAGGAGGAAGATGATGATGATGATGATGACTCCATTGAGAACGGGCATCGGGCCCACAGGCACCGAGGCCATGAGGAAGATGATGATGACGATGATGATGATGACTCCATTGAGAACGGGCATCGGGCCCACAGGCACCGAGGCCATGAGGAAGATGATGATGACGATGATGATGATGACTCCATTGAGAACGGGCATCGGACCCACGGGCACCGGGGCCAGGAGGAAGATGATGATGATGATGACTCCATTGAGAACGGGCATCGGACCCACAGGCACCGGGGCCATGAGGAAGATGATGATGATGATGACTCCATTGAGAAGGGGCATCGGGCCCACAGGCACCGAGGCCATGAGGAAGATGATGATGACGATGATGATGATGACTCCATTGAGAACGGGCATTGGACCCACGGCCACCAGGGCCAGGAGGAAGATGATGATGAGGATGAAGATGAGGGCATGTCTGATCAACACCATCATCATGTCCCTGACCACGGGCACCGAGGCCACAGAGATGAGGAAGATGAAGAAGAGGATGTGTCCACTGCACATTGGCATCAGGTGCCCATACACGCCCACCACCACGGCATTGGAGATGAGAAGGAAGAGGAGGAGGACAGGGAAGAGGTCACGGCCAAATCTGGCCACCATGTGACCAGCCATCCACCCCAGAGTCAAGGGAGCCAGGAGGGGGATGGCCCTGATGGAGTCGCTGGCCACCACCACCACAGAGAGGAAGACGTGGACACATCGGCGGAGCTTGGCCACCAAGTGCCGCAAGGCCACCTGCATGACACTGACCAGGATCTCAGAGGATCCCACAAAGAGGAGGTTGGCCACCAGCCCCAAGGGCACTCCAAAGGAAGGGACAGAAGTCATGTGAGGAGGGGTGGCTCTGAAGAGGAAGAGGAGGAGGAAGGTGCCCACCTCCAGGGTGTGGGAGAGGAGGAAGGAGAAGAGGAAGGCCACGGTCTCAGCCTGAGCCAGGAAGAGCAGGAGGGGAAGATGGAGGTGGAGGAAGAGGAGAGGAAAGAAAGGGCCAAGTTTCAGGCCCCGCTAAGGCGAGACCACAGGGAGGAAGAGGAGGAGGAAGAGGAGGAGGAAGAGGAACTGCCCTTCAGCATCATCCCCAACCCCCTGGCCGGGAGGGAGGAGGCTGAAGGTGCATCCAGCGAGGAGAGTGGTGAAGACACAGGTACGCGCCCTGGCCTGGCTCCTGGGGTGGGCAAAGAGCCAGGCCCCTGGGAGGGTCACCGCCGCCTTCCTGTCCCCACAGGCCCGCAGGATGCCGAGCAGGACAGCAACTACCAGCCAGGCTCCCTGTGCAGCTACTGCACCTTCTGTGACGTATGTGCCCAGCCCTGCAGGGGAGCGCTGGCACAGCAGGGCCAGGGCTGAGGGGCTGGCAAGCTGTGCCAGGGGGCGGGGGGCAGGGGGCAGGCCTGGGGAAGTGTTCCCCGGGGGTGGATCTCCCAGCCTGGGGAACATGGCAGTAGGACATCTCCCTAACTAGCCTCCTCTGGCCCTAGCGATGTACCGAGTGTGAGAAGTGTCACTGTGACGAGGAGCACATGAACGAGCACTGTGACCAGTGCCAGGTGAACACCCCCCTGTGGCCCCAGAAGACTCCCCTCCCCCAGCCTTACCTCTGTCATTAACCCCACACTGATCCCGGATACAGCCAGGACTCCACACCCAGTTCCCACCCAAACCTTAACCTTGACCAAGCCAGCCTTGGGGCCCTGTTGTTCACCCTCTCCTCGTCCCCACCCCCAGCACTGCCAGTTCTGCTACCTCTGTCCGCTGGTCTGTGAAACCATCTGCAAGCCAGGTGAGACGGGCCGACCTTGATGGGGGCGGGCCCGGCCGGGAAGGAGTTGCTGAGGCCAAGAAGGGGCTGGGGAATGGAGTGATGCTTTGGGGGCGGGGCTGCCAGGCTTAGATACCGCCCCCAGCAGGGGAACGGGGCAGGGCCAGCGAGGGGGTCAGAAGACGCAGGAGCCACCCCTAACCCTGCACTGCTGGGTTTCGCTTGTGGAGCCCCCCCTCAAGCCTGCTTTCTCTGCCGCCCCCCAGGAAGCTACGTAGACTACTTCTCCTCGTCCCTGTACCAGTAAGTGTCGGGAGGAGGGCGGGCTTAGGGTCACGGGCTACAGAAGGACCCCCGGACCTCCACTGCCCCGTCTGTGCAATGGGCACACCCGGGGGTCCCCCTTCGGCCATCTCACCGCCCTGTCTCCTCCACAGGGCCCTGGCTGACATGCTGGAAGCTCCCGAGCCCTGAGCCAGACCGGCCACGCAGACGCACCCCTGAATCCCTTCAGCTCCCTCTCACGAGCCATATTTATTGCTCTGAATAAATGTGCTCCCCGAACCCTCACTGTTGGGGTGGACTCCGGTTCTTGGGACACCAGGGGGTGGGGTGGCGTAGCTGGATTCAGCAACCCCTGAATGCCTGGGTCCCCAACACTCCCTCTCCCCCCGAATCAGTCCACACACAGAGCCTGTTGAAACAGTTCTCTTTACCCGTGATCACTGAGTGACTGCTGGGACAAGGAGGCTGACCGAGAGTGGGGGCTGGGGGACAAAGGCTCCTCCCCCGGCCCTCCTCCTCCCCACCCCCGCCTCCCACACCATGTCACCCAGCGTGGAAAGCATTCTCCCATGCAAACCCCGGAGCCAGAGGGGTCGGGGAGCACACTTCTGCACCCCTATCCCTGGGGCACGGACACGGCCACAGCACGGGGGGGCGAGGAGGCCCCGGGGACACGAGACACGGGGGGAGGGAAAAGGGACCTGGCCAGCATAGATGAACCCCTGGGCACCGGTGGCCAATGAGGCGGGGCAGGGCCAGGGGCACAGGGGGCAAGGCTGTAGCAGCAAGTCCCCCCTCCCCTCCTGGCGGACGAAGAAGGAAGACATGGGCCCCGCGACTGGGCAGGAAAGGGGGACATGGGGCGGCCTTTGTGCATGCAGCCCCGGGAGGAAAGCCCCACCCCTTTCTGCAAGAGAAGGGAACCTGTCTCCCATCGGAAACCGACCAATAAATTACAAAAGGGAGGAGGCGGAAGTTCAGGGCGTGCTGCCTTCGACCCACTTCACCACCACCCAAGTCCAGTTCATGTGGTTTGGTCCAGGCCCAGTCCCTTGGAGGAGCAGGTGGTGCAGTCCACGGCGAGAGTGCCCCTGCCCGCTCTCCCCAGCGAGGCCACCCTTTGGCAGGTGCAGGATCGAAGCCACCCCTCAGCAGGTGCAGGTCGAGGCCACCTCTTAGCAGGTGCAGGATCCAGGCCCACCTCGGCAGGTGTAGGATGGAAGTCACCCCTTGGCAGGTGCAGGATGGAGGTCCCACCTCAGCAGGTGTAGGATGGCGGTCACCCCTCGGCAGGTGCAGGATCCAGGCCCCACCTCGGCAGGTGCAGGATGGCAGTCACCCCTCGGCAGGTGCAGGATGGAGGTCACCCCTTGGCAGGTGCGGAATCCAGGCCCACCTCGGCAGGTGCAGTGTCAGCCTGTCCCCTGACTGAGGGCGCCTGCAGGGACGCCAGGCAGGGCAGAGGGCGCCAACAACCCGCTGAGCCGCCCCGCGCCCCCTGCCCTCACCTGCAGGTCTGCACTAGCAGGAGTAGGTCCGCACAGACACACCATCCGCCCGTGAGCCTCCAGAAGCCTGGCCTGCAGGGAGAGCGAGCCGAGGCTCAGCCTGCTGCGCCCCTCCTTCCCACGGCTCTCCCCACCTCGGCCTGAGTCCCTCCCTTCCCTGCAGGTGACCACAGCCGGCTCATGCCCATCCTGGGAAGGGGGCATGGGGGAGCCAGAATACGAGGCAGTCCACTCGCCGGGGGTGGCAGAAAGAGGCCCAGGCTGCTTCTGAGCCTGGAGGGATTTTAAATGGCTCCATTCCCAACCCTGGGGAAGGGGATGCACGGAGGAGAAGCCCCCACCAACACACCTTCCGGCTGCAGTTTTCGGAGGGGGAGCCCCGGCGAGCCCAGGGCTCCTGCTGCTGCCGAGCGAAAGTTGGGGGGCAACATCTCAGCTGAGTCTGGGGTCACCCCTCGGAGGTCTTTCTCCCGGAACATCTTCCGCCAGGAGGGGGAGCGGCTGAAGGACTTGGCGCTGTCCTAGGTGCAGTAGCCACCACGAGGGTGAGGGGCCTGGACTCCGCCCCTCCTGCCCTAGGCCCCGCCTCCTCGACGAGCTCCGCCCCGAGAAGGCCCCGCCCTCCCAGCAGCTGGCCCCTCCCGCAGGAGCCCTGCCCCTCCTGCCCGAGGCCCCGCCCCCAGAAGCCCCGCCCCTCCCACAGGAGCCCCTCCCCTCCGCCTGCGCGGTGTCTCATGAAAGCCCCGCCCCTCCGAGGAGGCCCCGCCCCTCCCAGCTGCCGGCCCCGCCCCTGCTGTCCCTCATGTGGCCGCAGTGCCCACAGTGCCCACCTCGTCCAGCCGCCGGTCTGTGCCTAAGGAGATGAGGTTGCTGAACTCCTTCTCCAGGAGCTGCCGGGCCTGAGAGGGGAAGCCAGGGGCGCTTTCCCCGGAGCCAAGGGCCATCCCAGGGCCGCCTTCCCCAGGGCCGCCTTCCCCAGGGCCGCCTTCCCCAGGCCGCCTTCCCCAGGCCGCCTTCCCCAGGCCACCCTCCCCGGAGCCAAGGGCCATCCCAGGGCCGCCTTCCCCAGGGCCGCCTTCCCCAGGGCCGCCTTCCCCAGGCCGCCTTCCCCAGGCGAGCAGCCGGGCTCACCTGCGCGTTCTGTGTGGGGATCTGCAGCAGCAAGGCCAGGTCCGAGTAGTCGAAGGTCTCGTCCAGGGCGAGCAGTGCCCCATGCACCCCGCTCTCCGTGAGGTTCGTGGCGAATTCCTTCAGGCCCAGCCCGGATACCCAGCCCATGACTCGCTCATTGGACCATACCATCACGTCTGGGGGCGTGCAGAAGGGCGCCTCAGCCTCGGCCCGTCCCCACGGCCCCTCTGCTGACCACACGTGGGCCTCCGGCTCACCTCGGATCTGCGTCTGACTCTCCTCCCTCCTCCGCTCCAGGTCCTTCCGGTCATAGTTAAGTCGCTTCAGGCACATGATCCCATAATGTAAACTCACCCTGGGCGGCGGTGGGGGGACCAGGCATCACCACCCTGCCAGGTACCCCACCATGAGCTCCAGGCTCCTGGGAGAGGGTGAGCAGGCTGGCGGATGGGACCCGCTGGTTGCTGGGCACCTCCTCCCTCCCCACCAGGAGGCGGCCGCATTGTCCACAGGCAGTCCCCGTGGACAGATCTCAACTTGTCCTATGGGCCATCCCAACCCGAGCTGAATCGTGGCCCAGGGAACCCCACGCCTTCACACAGGCGTCCCCCCACCTGTGGAAGCTGTCCACCATCTTCAGCTGGCCCCTGAGCTCTTTCTTGTTGAGATGGTCCAGCATCCGGGCATCCACCAGAGACTCCATGAAGTAGCTGCGGTACTGGGGCAGCCCCAGGCTGGGCAGCCAGTCGTTGCCTACCCACTCGTGGTTCATGTCGCCATACGCCAGGATCTGGAGCCATGGGCAGGTGAGGGATGGGTCAGGGCCTCTGGCAATCCCCCACGTATGTAGGAGGGTCCAGTCTAGGCCCCGTTCCCCATCTGAGCGTGTACTTTCCTAACCCACAGCAAGGTAATGTGACTTTGCAGTGCTCACCAGCTTGCCCATGGCAGGTAAGAGTCTGTGTCAGGCTGCAGGAGTCAGACCCCCTCCCAGCCCTCCACCTTGCAGTCACCATCCCTCCAGAGAGGGACCCTTCCAGTCCAAGGTAGTGCCCCTGCCCAGGACTGGATCATGCCTGACCCTGTTGCACAGCCCAGTGCAGCTGCCCCTCCCAGGCCTTCCTTCAGTGCAGCCTGGTCTGGTCACCACAGCCTGGACTCCTGTGGCCAACACTTGGGCTTAGCATAGTTCCCCCAGGATGGACACTAGTGCCCTCTAGTGTCCACAGTGGGGCAGGCCACAGGGTGCCTCAGCAGCGCCCTCTAGTGCCCGCCGTGGAACAGCATCAGGGTCCTGAGCAGCGCCCTCTAGTGCCCACCGTGGAACAGCATCAGGGTGCCTCAGCAGCGCCCTCTCGTGCCCACCGTGGAACAGCATCAGGGTGCCTCAGCAGCGCCCTCTCGTGCCCACCGTGGAACAGCATCAGGGTGCCTCAGCAGCGCCCTCTCGTGCCCACCGTGGAACAGCATCAGGGTGCCTCAGCAGCGCCCTCTCGTGCCCACCGTGGAACAGCATCAGGGTGCCTCAGCAGCGCCGGGAGCATCCACAGAACAGCCTGCAGTGTCCCTGAACATTGCCCTCTAGTGTCTAAGTGGAACAGCTTGTGGGATCCTTGCAGCCCTTACTAATGGAATCCCCCAGGGCTCAGGGGCTAATGGAACAGTTTCCGCTTTCCCACCATCTCCACTTCACTCCCAAGCCACAAAAAAAAATCATCCAGAGCCGAGTTGGGTCAGCGTTCCCCGCTCCCCATTGTGTGGGTACGGTGGAACATCCTGGTGGGAGTAGGGGCAAGGCTCAGAAACAGAGGGGGTGTCCATGCAGCGTGCACAGCCTGCTCATGCACCCACAGTCTGTACCACACCCCTACCTGCTCCCAGCTGATCTCCTTGGTCTCCTGACCCGTTAGTGGAAGAGGGGAGAAAAGGGATGGGTTAAGGGGCAGGAAGAGGACAGGAGGGACAGAAGGTCGGATAGCCAGCTGGCCACAGCCTCAGTGGCCACCCCCACCCCCAAGCCGGGTTCGTGTCACCCCCCAAGGCCGCCAGCAGGGGACACTCACAGGCTTGGTCGTGGCTGTGAGTGACTCCATCTCCTCGTGTGTCATCCACACGTTTCCTGTGGACTGAGGGGCATGGGTTTCAAGGACTTTGGGAAAGGGCTCTGGACAGGGTGGGAGAGGGAAGGGGCTTCTGGAAAGCCCCGGAACACACCATGTCCAGCAGAGACAGAGGAAGCAATGCTCTTTTATGGAACACCTGCCAGATTCCAGGTACAACAGCGTGGGTTTAGGAGCTGGGCAGCCCCATGCTAGCGATGCCACCTGTCTGACCTCACACTGATGCCAACAGTCCCAGAAGCTAGGACACAGCCCAGGCCCAGCACACGTGAGAAACTCGAAGTGTGGGGATGGGAGCGCTCACAGTCGTGGGATGGCAGACGCACCAGGGCATCTGGATAAAGACTGACTCACAGATGGATACCAGGATGCGCATCTATCCTGTGCTGTGGGGAAGGACCTGCCGGAGTGCTTTAGGAGCCAATCCATCAGAATGTCTCCAAGTTACATTCAGGCCCCTCAGTAACACACACACACACACCAAGGGTGGCTGCCAGTGCTTCAATCAGGCAGGGTACACACAATTTCCTGTATGTTCCGGAGTTATTGCAATAAAAAATCAGAATGCAAGAATGAAAGGATTGGAAGGCAGTCGAAGTATGGGTCTATTGGAAGGTATACAGGGACGGAAGGCTTCTCAGGACGTGGTGTTATATCAACTGAGAGCTCAAGGAAACCCCAGGCAGCCAGAGGTGGGGTGTCCAGGAACAGTGTGTGGTCAGTGGGTCTCACACAAACAGACAAGACTGGAGGGCAGGTGGGAGTGGGGCAGGTGTTATGGGACAGCCCTGGGGCAGTTGGCTCCCCCGAAGCCCAGGGGCAGGAGGCTGCAAGGACCAGGGGCAGGAGGCAGCAAGGACCAGGATTGGGGGCGCTGGGCACTCACGGTGCGGGAGGAGGCGGGAGCCGAAGGCGACGTGAGTGAGACCATCTCCTGGATGGCCAGGCGCAGCTTGAGCCGGTGTAGCGGGTTGCTGATGCCGATCTCACGCTGGATTTCCGTGTCTGACAGGTTGGCCATGATGGCCCCACTCTTGACATTGGCCCGGCAGGCGGCCACATACCATGCGGGCATGCCTACCCAGAGCTGGGACATGGGAGGAGAGAATGGGAGAGAAACAAAGGGAAAGTCAAGTGGGGGCGAAACAGACGTGGCAGGCGGGCCAGGAGGAGAAGCAGGACGCAGGAGCAGTGGGAGGGTCAGGTGGAGGCAACCAGAGGATTGTGTGGCATGGAAGTGGAAAAGGGGGTGGGGGTGGAAGGACGCGGGCAGAGACGGAGCACACGTGGAGAGACACACACGGAGGAACGCGGAGGAAAGCCAGAGGTGCGAGGGATGTGGACCACACAGCCAGAGATGGGGAGAGATGCAGCCAAGTTAGAGAGGGAGAGACCAGGACCCAGGTGGGTGTCCCCAGGAGAGGCGGGTTGGGATGGAGAAGAAAGAATTAGATTGACAGGAAGCCCAACCCCTCCCAGGTCCTCCCCCCACTGAGTGGGACTCAGACCCACGAGGCCCTCAGGGAGCGTGGCGGACATCAGTGAGGGTGTTTCTGGGACCCAGTACCTCCAGCCAGGAGACCACGGTGGGCCCATCCCAGGCAGCGAAAGGCAGGCCCTGGCGGCAGGCCTCTTCCAGCAGCTCGTGCCTGGAGGGGTGACAAGGGATGGAGCATGTCAGCATGGAGCCCAGCCCTTCACCACCCCTCATGCCCAAGCCCTCGTCACGAGGGCAGAAAACACGGGCAAAAACTACGAGCGAGCATCATCCCCTGAGACAGGAATCCCAGGGGCCCCTAGGAAAGCTGGGTCAGGGGCACGGGCTCCCTCAGCACGGTGACCCCTTCCACACACACTCACTTCCTTTTGTTCCTTCGGTCCTTGTCACCTGGGCCTGTCAGCTTGGCCAGCCCCAGAGGGTCAGTGGCCAGCGTCTCCTCAGATGGCGTGCCAGCTGGAGGCAGGGAGGGGTCGGGATTAGCACGTTCTCAAAGGACAGGCAGAACCTCTCTTGCTGGGGGGATGGTGGGGTGGGGGTATGCTGAGGAGAAGGCCAAGGCGGCAGAGGCCCCGAGGGAGCAGGGGCTAAGGGCCACACCAGGGCCACAGGTGGACAAGGCGCAGCGTCACCGCGCAGGCGGTGGACCTGGGAGGGCGGCCGTGGTGCCAGGGTTTAACCGCCCGCCGCAACCTGAACGCATTCCAGGCCAATGAACAGACCAACAGAGGAAGGCGTGAGGAACAGCGGAGGGGGAGGGGAGGGGCCTCACCCAGCGAGGAGCTGTCGCGCCCAGGGGGCCCCATTCTCCCCTTCTCTTTCTTGCCAAAGAGCCGGCCTATGGATGACTTGATGCTCTTCTTCTTGGGGGCCTTGTGCAGGGAATCCGGGGTGCCTTCGCTAGGTAAGCAAGGCCATGAGGGCAGGCCCTCTCTGGGCTGGGGGGAGGTGCCCCCTCCCCCTCCTCCAGCCCTTCTTGGTCCCCAGCCCTGCTGACCTTCCCCGCGGAGGTCCCCCATCTTCCAGGGACCCTGCCTGCAGTGCCAGGGCCTGGGTCATCCTCTCGAGCCGGGCTGAGCGCGGCGTGGGTGGGGGGGTGTCTCCTGGGATGGCCGGCCCCTCCCCTCGTGGCCCCCCGGCCTCCTCCTTGGGGACATGATTCTGGGGACACAGAGACACAGGTGGGAGAGTCTTCTAAGCGGCTGCTCGGTCCCCAGGCTGCCTCCTGGGGTGTCCAGGGGGACACTTGCTTGGAAGGCAGGCCAGGCAAAGTAGGCTGAACTACAGAAGCAGAAGGCCCATATAGGGGTTTCCCCTTGAACTTGATGGGCGACTCCACTTCCAGAGTCAGAAGTGGGGTGTGCCTGCCCTTATGGGGGAGCAGGGAAGCAGGGGGCGAGGCCACACAGCGGGGCCGACCCAGCTTCACCACTTTCAAAGGCCCATCCTGAGGGTCTGTTCTAGTCCCCAGGCGGGTGTGTGGTCAGACATATGCTTCCAATCAAGTGGAAGGGACCAAAGGACATCAGGGCTCAGGATCCCAGCCACTTGGCTCCTGTTTGGGTCTTTACTGAAACCGCTGCTGGGAGGAGAGCGTGGCTGTTCCACGTGGGGGAACCTCTCCCACTTCTCCCAACATCCCCCCCCAAGGCTGGGGAGACTTCAGATACTCACAGCCTTGTCGGTGCCCTCTCGGGCAGGACTGGGTGGTGCCAGGCGGGGTGTGGAGTGGCCTGAGCTGGGCGGGGAGGGGCTGGCAAGGGTGGAGGTGGTGAGGGAGGGGGGCAGCGAGCAGCTGCTGCGATAGCGGCCCAGGGAGTCCAGGCCCGAGCTGGACACACGGCTCTCCAGCTCCTCAGCCCTCTGCTCCGTGGTCTCCTTCTCCTCCTGGATCAGCCTGGCAGGGGTGCAGGGGGCAGAAGAGACACAGCAAAGGGTGAGAGGACGGGCTGAAGCAGAGAAGGTGGTGGGGACAGAGAATGCTGCCCTTAGCGTGCTGTGGTAGGCTCCCAAGGAGTCTTAGGGTGCAGGAGGAGACAAGGAAGTCATGGAGGGACGGGGCAGTCAGGCGTTCACATCACAGAGTTCTAGAAAACCACAGAGGAGCACATGCCGTGGTGTAGCAGGTAAGCCACCACCTGTAGCCCCTGCAGCCCACAGAGGCGCTGGTTCAAGTCCTGGCTGCTCCACTTCCCATCCAGCCCAAGGCAACCCAAATGTTTGAACCAGAGGCACTGGGGGGGACGGTCAGGGCAGGACAGGGCAGGGTGGGTGGAGCAGGGCAGGGCAGGGGCAGGACAGGGCAGGGTGGGTAGAGCAGGGCAGGGCAGGGGCAGGACAGGGCAGGGTGGGTGGAGCAGGGTAGGGCGGGGCAGAGAGGGGTAGAGGGGGGCAGAGAGGGGCAGGACTCACTTGATTTCCTTGTTGATGGCTTCCAGCTGCTCCTGGAGCATGATGGCCAGCGTCTGCACGTCAGCCTGCCCGCTGGGGGACAGCAGCTCTGCCCCAAACATCCCCTCTGCCTCCTCTTCGTCTGAGCCATCTAACTCCCCAGGGAATGGGGGAGGCATAGACCCAGCTGATGCAGACCGTTCCCAGTCCTGTCTCTGTAGGGGAACAGTGTGCCAGCAGGTGGGTGGGTAAGTGGCTGGGGGCCTGGGAGGATGCTGCGTCTTGGCCCCACCCCCTCATCCTGATCCCGCCCACCTCTCCCCACACCCACTCCCTTTGATCCCGCCCTTCAGCCGACTCCACCCACTCTGCAATGCCATGCTCCCCCTCGCGTCTCACCAGGGGAAGCCAAGGCCGACGTCCACAGCAGGGGAACCCGTGGGCATGGCGGCACGGCAGAGGAGAGAACGCAGTGAGCCCAGGAGACGCTGCCCTCCAACGGCCTCCCTCCCCAACCCCCTGTCTGCCCAAGCCCTGCCGCTGACCTTGGATGGCTCATCTTTGACCCCTGACCAGCGGCCCCTCTTGCTTGCCCGACCACTGCCGGCCCCATAGGGGTCCAGATGGGCCCCAGAAGGTAAGGTGGGTGCCTGTGAGTACCGCAGCTCCAGGGCACTGCCAGGGAGAGACCTGTGGGTGTTGAAGACGGTAGTCAGGGGCCAGGGCTCCCGGGGCCAGCCCAGGGTCAGTGGCCATACAGTCAAGGAGCCTGTGGGAGTCAGGGAGACAAGAACGGGGCCAGGACAGCGGCTCCAGGAGCAGAGGCAGGATAAGGGGCCACCGTCACCTGGAGTAGGAGGAGGGCGGCCTCCCCCGCAGCTGGTCAATCTCCATCTGCATCCGCTCCATTTCGGCCAAGAGCTGCTCCTAGAGTGGGGTGTGGGGTGTCGGCTCAGAATGTACCCCCGGGCGAGGGGCGGCCCCTCCTGGCCTGCGCCCTGTGTGCCCCTGCCCCTGGGCGAGGGGCAGCCCCTCCTGGCCTGTGCCCTGTGTGCCCCTTACCCGGGGCGAGGGGCAGCCCCTCCTGGCCCGTGTGCCCTGCCCTGGTGGGGTGCCTGTCTGGCCGCCTGTGTGCCTCCCAGGCGAGGGCAGCCCTCTGGCCTGCGCCTGTGGCCTTCCCGGGGCGAGGGGTGGCCCCTCCTGGCCTGCGTCCTGTGTGCCCCTGCCCCTGGGTGAGGGGTGGCCTGTCCTGGCCTGCGCCCTGGTGGCCTGCGCCCTGGTGCGCCCATGGGTGAGGGGCAGCCCTGGCCTGCCCCTGGGCCAGCCCTCGGCCTGCGTCTTGTTCTCACCTTGTTGAGCAACAGCTCGTCCTGAAGCTTCTTCATGTTGGCAATCTCCTCACTCAGTGAGTTCTGTGGGGTCGCAGGGAAGTGAGGGGGTGGAGCCTGCCAGGGACACTGCCCAGGGGGCGGGTGACTGCCCGCAGGGCCAGGTGGACCAGGGTGGGCACCAATCAGGAGTGTAGGGAGTCCTGGGTAATCACAGGGGGGCCGGCCACAAGGGTCCCCAGGATAGACAAAGCCAAGGCGACACCCCAAACCCCACCTCCCACATCCCTCTCTGGGAAGTTGTCAGATCAGAGATGCTCAGGTCTGGAGCGAGTTCAGACCGGGATCTGGGCAGGGGCGGGGAGCAGCTCGGCCCCAGGATGAGGTGGCCCTGGCTCCCCAGGTCGGGGGCACACCTTCTCCTCCAGCGCCCCCATGCGCTCCTTCAGGTGCAGCTGGAGCCGCTCGTTGGACTCGCTCAGCAGCTTGTCCACAGTCTCGGACAGCCGCTTGTTGTGCTCATCGTTCATCTTCTCGCGCTGCCGGGCCTGTGCACACCACAGCAGGGCCAGGGGTGGGGCTCGAGCAGCGGGCCCCTGCCGCAGAGCCCCATCTTCCCTGCGGTGCCCACGCCCCTGCCTCCTCACCCGCTGCAGCTCCTGGTTCTTCTCCTCCAGCTGCGCCTCCAGCTGCCGAAGCCGCTCCTCAAAGTTCCCATGACGCTCTTCAGCCTAGGGGACCGAACGCAGTGTCTGAGCTTTGTACCCCAGGATCCAGTCAGGCTCTAGGCCCCGCCCCTGCCGACTCGGCCCCGCCCCTAGGCCCCACCCATTGATTCGGCCCCGCCCCTCGAGGCTCCGCCCCTTCTCGGTCCCGCCCCACTGACTCAGCCCAGCCCTCTTAGGCTCCGCCCCAACGACTCGGTGGCTCCCACAGATTGCCCCGCCCCTCGAGGTTCCGCCCCTTCTCGGCCCCGCCCCACTGACTCAGCCCAGTTCTTCTAGGCCCCGCCCCACTAACAGCAATAGCCTTCCTAGGCCCCGCCCCACTGATTTGGCTCCGCCCCACCAACTCAGTCTACTCCCACGGGCTGCTCCGCCCCTTCTAGGCCCCACCCACTGGTCCAGCCCGGCCAGGCCCCGCCCCGCTGGTTTGGCCACGCCCCTTTCTAGGCCCCGCCCAAGGCCTCCTCCGACCTTGTTGAGCGCGGCCACGCGCTGGGCCAGCTGCGCCTCTATCTCGGGCAGGGTCTCCGCCTTCTGCAGCGTCTGCTGCAGCTTCTGCTTGGCGTCGTCCAGCCACTCGGCCAGCTGCCGGCTCTTCTCTTCACTCTGGGGGTGGAGGGCAGAGAAGGGCAGTTGGGAGGGGCAGGGACCAGAATCTGGGGGGCCACGACCACTCCCCGAGACCCCGCCCCGGCCGCAGCCGGCACCTGCCGGTACAGCGACTCCTTGCTGGCCAGTTCGTTCTCCAGTTTGTCGTTGGCGTCGTGCAGAGACGTGGCCTCGCGCTGGGCGCTGAGGTAGCGCTTCTCCAGCGTTGTGATGCGTTCTTCCATGTCCTCCCGCTGTGCCAGGGCCTGCAGTGGACGGCACAAGGCCACGTGGACTACAGCTCCCTGAAGCCCCTGGGGCAAGCGGGGCTTAGGACCTCTAGGAGAAACCTCCAGGAAATCCTGGGAAATGAAGTCCCCGGTCCACAGGGACTTGTGGCGGCATCACACCCGTCCAAGGGCTCCGAGGACTAGCCCACCTTGTCCCCCTGACAATTAAAATGGCGACCCAGATTCTTGTACAGGTGGTCCAAGGTGCTTGAGACGTGAAGTCTCCAGTGGAGCCGCTGAGGTAGGAAAATGCACGCTTGAATTTTCCCAACCCCTTCCTGCACAGCCCAGGCTTGGCACCATGGCATTCCTGCCCTGGGCTCTCACTAGAGACAAAACCTCCTTCTGCAAGGAAGCAGCCTCCCGCACGAGCCCCAGGGGCAGAGGCTAAGAGGCCCGGGGCAGGTGCTCCAGGGGCTCATGGAAACTCCCGTCTGGAAGCCCTCGTGAGGTGACCCCACTTCCTGGCCGCTCAGCTCCCACATCTGCAATGATGAGCTCACATCGACTGCCTGCAAGGGTCCAGGCCCCAGAGTTGTCAGCTGGGGCGTGGGAACGGGAGACAAGAGGCCCAAGGCCGGGCGGGGGGAAACGTTGACAGGAGATGTGGAGTCACAAGCAAATGGCCCCTCTAGTAACTCGGTGATGGGACGCTCTGTGCAATAACACTGCAGGGCGCTCACAGGCCTCATCATCTTAGAAGTGAGAGGAGAGGTCTCCCCCTTGTGGCCATCTCCAGGTACCACCTTTGGCGAGCTCTGGGCAAAGGCGGCAGAGAGCTGGCGACAGAGGGCACCCTGCACCCCGGGCCGCTGGCCTCACCTCCTTGAGGTCCCTCTGCAGCTTGGAGTTAGCCTCCTCAGCCTTGCCCAGCTCGCGGTGAGCTGTGCCCAGCTCGTCCTCCAGCTGGCTCATCTGGCGGCACAGCACGGCCAGGCGCTCCCGCAGCTGGCACACCTCGGCCCGCTGCCGCTCCAGGGCCTCCTCCAGCTCCGCTGTGCGCCGGTTCGAGTCCCCGCCGGGACCCAGGCCGTTAGCTAGGGTCTGAAGGAGGGCGGGAGGGAGGAGCAGAAGTCAGGTGGGCAGCATAGAGACACAGACTGAGCGCAAAGAGAAAATGTTTCTCAGGCGAGGTGAGGCTATGCAGATCGGAGCCCAGTCAGGGCTGTGGTCCACTGGCTGAGAGAACTTAGCACAGTGACCTCTCAGGCCAGAGGTCAATGGCCAGGGAGACTCCTGGGAGGCTCAGATGTCTTAAAAATTGGGCATGAGCCCACCAGACATTCGAAGGACCAGAACAGGGGTGACTCTGAGTGCCAGGGGTACAGGCCTGGGTCTGTCCACAAGCCCAGCTGTATCCTGGGAAGCAGCTCCAGTTGCTGGACCCCTAACCCCCATATGGCAGACTCGGTTGGTATCTATGGCCTGGCTCCGTGTTGGCCTGTGTGGGGGCGGGGGGCTCTGGGGAGTGAACGGTTGTCTGGGAGATCACCCTGCCTCGCTGCCTTCCAGAGAAAGGCATGCAAGATGGATTTTGCAAAAGGACATGCACACAGGTGAGTGGGGCCGTGGGGAGGGGCCTTCCACCTCTCACCTGACTGTCCCCCTCCTTGCCCGGCTCTTCCAGCCCCGACCGCCGCCTGGCCAACTGCTCCCGAAGGCTCAGTGACTGCGGGAGAGAGTGGAGAATCAGTGCATGGGGCCACTTCCCAACGGCATCCTCCAAGGACACATGTGCCCCCTGAGATGCTGTGGGCCTGGCAGACACGCACACATCCCACATACATGCCTGCCTGCATACCCTTGCCTCATGCCTCTCCTAAGCTGCCCACTACCAGAGGACTCTGCCCTTAGTCTTGCCCTTGGCCTCCTGGCAGAAGTTTAAACCTTTGGGGCCCAGCAGCCATTCCCAGCATCCTACATGGGTGCCGGTTCAAGACCCAGCAGCTCCACTTCCCACTTGTCATGTTCCTGGGAAGGCAGCAGCAGAAGGCCATGCACTTGTGCCCCGACGTGGGGGCCTGGAGGGCGGCCCAGGCTCCTGACTTCAACCTTCTCTCAAAGAAGCAGCCTCTGCTGTCGGCCACAGCCTCACCTCCTGATTGCTCAGCTCCAGCTGCTCCTCCAGCACTGCCACCCGCTCCAGCGCCATGCGCAGCCGCTCACGGACCTGCACAGGACAGTGGTGACCACGCTGGGTCCAGGCCCACAACATCTCTGGGACAGCTCTCGGCTGCCGACCTCAGCATCGCCCCTCTCGGCAACAGACCCTGTGCAGCCCCCCCACCGGGAGCCCCATCATTCCTTGGTATATTATCAGCCAGCGCGTCTCACGCCGGGTCAGCCCCATCGGCCAGTCACCGGTCCTCCTACCTTCTCATCCAGGGCCTTGTGGTGCTCGAAGAGCGATTTGAGAGCCTTCAGCACCTCCACCTCTGAGGAGACCCCGCCCGGCGACTGTGCCTGGCGCTTGACCACGGTCATGCGCAGTGACCTCTCGTGCCTGGACACCAGGCATTCCAGATGTTCCAGAAGGAGCTGCAGGGGCAGAGCGCCGTGCCAAGGCCCAGGGCGAGGGGGCGAGGGGGCGAGGAAGAGGGCGGCGCGTAGGGCAGAGGTAGGGCCGGGGGTCGGTACACGGATCAAGGAGCAGGAGCAGCGTGAGCGGACCAGCCAGGATGTGGGAGCAAGAAAGAGAAGATGTGAGGGGAAAAGGCAGAGGAAAAGATGCCTCAGGAGGCCACGCCGCAACCGCACCGCCGCTGCTCACCCGCGTGTTGTTCCGCTCCGCCTTCAGCTCGGCAATCTCCTCCTCCCTCTCCAGCAGCTGCTCCCGACATAAATTCAGCTCCTTCGTCAGCGCTGCGAACTCCTAGTCCAGGATCGGAGCCATCAGATTGATCCATTCCGTGTCCTCCTTCCTCTGGTGTCCAGGACCTGGACAGGCCCCGCCTTCCCCAAGCCCCACCTCTTGGGTGTGGACTCCGCCCACCAGAGCTGGAGTCCCGCCCACGCACGGTGCCCCGCCTCTTCCGGGCCTCCCGCCCCGCAGGCCACGCCCCCAAAGACGAGCCAGCCAGTCTCTGAACATCCCGCCCCAGCTGGTAACCCCGCCTGGTGTGCAGGCCCCGCCCCCGAAGGCAGCCCCGCCCTCGTCGGTGCCCCGCCCCGCCGGGCAGGGGTCCCCTGCGTGCAGGCCCCGCCCCGCCGGGAAGCCCCGCCCCCGAGGGCAGGCGTCCCCTGCGTGCAGGCCCCGCCCCGCCGGGAAGCCCCGCCCCCGAGGGCAGGCGTCCCCTGCGTGCAGGCTCCGCCCCGCGGGAAGCCCCGCCCCCGCGGCCCGGCCCCGCCCAGACCTGAGGCAGCGCGATGCTGAGCTGGCGCTGCAGCGAGTCCTTCTCGTGGCCCAGCTCGCGCAGCCGCAGCTGCGCCGTCGCCAGCCCGTCCTGCGCCTCGCGCAGCGTCTCCAGCAGGCGCTCGCGCTCCGTGAGCATCGTGACCATGAGGCGCTCCAGTTCGCCGCCCGCCTCGTCCGGGCCCAGCGCCGAGCCCCGCCGGCCATCCTCGCTGATGGTGGGCATCACCTCGCACATCATGGCGGCGGTGCCAGCCTGCGGGGGAGGGGAAGGGAGCGAGGTGATGGAAGGGGCCTGAGGCCGGCCTCCTCAAGGCGCAAGTTGAGGTGGAGCCGGCCAGACACTGCGCCCAGCCGCTCTGCTGATGACGGGGGAAACTGAGGCACCGCAACCAGCAGAACCGGTTTGGCTACTCGGTGCTACTTGGAGAGGATGAGGGCTACCCTTCGTCATTAAGACCAAGACAACTGAAATGCATGGCTTTCTGGGAAAGAGCCCTGGCTACCTGGCTGAGAGCTTTTCGGGTCACACTTCCTCACACCTGAGCCTGACCCACTGAGAGAAACAGGAGCCGCCAGACCACATCCTTGTGGAAAAACAGCCTCTCCCTCTTCTGGCTCTGTGGAGAGAAGCCCCACCCCCTTCAGCCCATTGCTTGAGTTAGAGAACTGAGGGCCAGGTCATGGGGCTAAGGACCACTAAGGACATCACGGAGCTGTGTAACAGGGGCATGCTCGCCCCCTAGCATCCCCGTGCAACTCTGGCTTCCTGTAGTGCTCTGGCTCTGGGAGAATCCACAGACCCACTCCACCGGGATGGGGGTGGGGAGCCTGCAGCCTGGAGGTGAATAAGTCATCCGTGCTCTTTGCACCCCAAAACCAGCCCCATCTCTACTTTGACCACAGGGATCCAGACTTCTAACTGCTGTCTTACCCCAGAACTGGGTGGTTGCAACCTCCTTTCTCTTTCCCCCACTAAATCTCCGAAGGCGGAGCGCACGCCTTCCCACCCCTCCGGAGACAAGCTTGGCTGGTGGTCTGCGCTGGGACCAGAAAACCCAGGCTTTACAGTTCTGGGCCCTCTCCACCCCAACAGTACCAGCCTTCCCTGCCCTCCCAGGTGGTTCCAGAGGGTGGGAGAGGACAAGAAGCGGGGTCTGCTGACAGAAAGGCAGGGCCTTGGGGAAGCAATGACCCAGGCCCCGTGCCACTCCCTCCAAGGCTGCAGGTCCAACGGGTCCTGCTGGCCTTGTCGAAAGTGGGAGGCACTTTCCCTCCAGTCCTTCCCTTCCTTCTCCCCTTGTGCGTGGCCGGCATAACCGGTTCAGCAGGTGGATGTTCCCAGCCCCGCCCAGTGCACTATGTCCAAGGCTTGGGAAAGGGGCCCCGGGACTCTAGAGATGACAAGAAGGGGCTGAGGGCACGGGACACTGGGAGGAGAGTAGCCTTGGATTGTTAAGGTGATGCAGCTGGGAAATCACAGCACTGAGTGAGCAGTCCAGGTAGCCTCAGGCCAAAAGCCAAGGTGAGGTCTGACATCCCTCAGAGGAGACGTGTTAGGCAGCCCTCTGCAAGAAGGAAGAAAGCATGGACCGGCAATCTGGGGAAGGGGTCTACAAAGCTACGGGCACGAAGATGCCTTATATGTGCAGAAAGAACATATCTACACATTGACCGTGGCCTTGGGGTAAGAGTTGCACAGGGAATTGGAGTCTGGAATCTAGAACCAGCCCAGAGTAACCCAGTAATTTACTGAGTGATTCGGTCCATCCCAGGGCCCAAACACAAGACTGAGAGGGGACAGAGATGGACATGGTACCCAACAAACCCAGCCAAGAGACAGCATCCAGAACTCAGAGAACTTAGCCCAGGGATGGGCTGGAACAGGGCACACGGCAGGGGTGTCTAGATAACGCTGGATCTATGCAGGCAATGCATGGGCACCAGGGTCCAACGAAAACAGAGTGAGAGTGAACTCAGCCTGGAACTCTGAAGGGGCTGGGTGAACACATAGAGGGCTGCCTGAGGAGAACCGAGAAATTCCTGAGATAAAGAGTGAGCTGGCAACGAGGGGGCGTTGTTCTGGAAAGGAGACATTTCTAGGCTGGGAAGCCTCCAGAAGGGGAGAGAGAGCCTAGAACATGCTTAGAATGCCAAGGTGGCAGACGGAGCAGAAAGCTTCTCCCCCCCTGCCGGGGGCCCCATCTAAGACAGAAAAAGACGGGCCGAGACGGTGGGCACGGGTGGGCCTGGAACCCCAACACAAGGAAGGAAACCGCTTCGTTGGGAATCCTCAAGACTGAAGTCTGAGAAAGTAGAGGCAACCTAAAAACAGGGAGGTACATTCTACAGTTCATGGCGTGAGCTGGAGCAAAGCTGTACTGGTACACATTCTAGAATATGCGAGAAGCCCCCCTCCCACACACACACACCAGCAAGAGGATGGGATACGGCAGAGACTCAGAACACCTAAAAGGAATGTTTAATGAAGGCTACAGAACGTCTAGTTGCTAGAAATCTGGACCGAGGCTGAGAGAAGATCAGGGACATCACCTAGACAAGATCAATGAAAAGAAGGTAATGTCTGCCCCGGAACCTAGACCAGGCCTTGGAACACTGGGGCTGTCCTAGCATTTAGAAGGGATCTAGAACCTGGCATGGGGCAAGGGCACAGGTGGAACCAGTGATGCAGAGGCCCGTGGCCACATTCTAGAGCCAGCCCACAGAACCTGGCAGCCTGAGACACCGTGCTTGGGAAACGGAACATCACCATATGGGCCTCAGATGGCCACCTGTCTTGGAGGGAGGGGGGAAGCGGACAGGAGCATCTCAGGAGCCAGCAGCCGAAATGACATAGGGATGTGACAGAGGTCTGTCAAGACAGGAAGTGGATGGCAGTCACACAAGGCTACGGCGACCAAAAGTGAGAGCAGAGGCACTGCAAATGGGGGTAGGGGGACCCAAAGCTGAACTCCTGAACCCTTGTGGAGGTCAAAGTTGGGTGTGGGCCCTGCAGGGCTGACTGTCAACTGGAGGTGGGGGACAAGACATCTAGGTCCCCCCTGGTGGACAGGCCCAGGGGAGGGGGTAGTGTGTGTGTGGACAGGAGCCAAATCCTCCTGAAGAAGACTGAAGTCGTGGTGCCCAGGGCCCCAGGGAGCAGAGGCTGTGTGGGTTTCAGAAGACAGAGGGGCTGCTGAACCGGGTGCCAAAGACAGCAAAGGCTGCACCCCAGTGCCTGGCAGGATGAGGGCTATTAGAGGGGTCAGCAGACAGACAGGGCACTGGCTATAGCGGGAAGCAATGGGGGTCCCCAGAAAAGCGGCAGGAGAGGGGGATAGCCAGGGAGGATCCCTAAAGGTGGACGAAGCAGGACCCAGAAACCAGGGTGCCCAAAATGGGGCCCAGAGCAGGGCCAGCAGAACCGTCAGGCCCAAGCGCCAGGGATGGGGAGGGCCCAGGTATCCCCGGATCAGAGGCGCGGTAGGGGGGGATCCCCGCGCTGCCCATCCGCGCCCCCTCCCTGGCGACGGCGGCAGGGGGTGGGGGAGGCGAGGCTGCCGGGTGCGCTGACCATGGACAGCTCCAGCGCGGGCCTGTGTCCAGGGCGGCCGGCCCAGTCATCCTGGACCCAGGAACGCGGCCGGCAGCTCCTGCCTGGAGCTCGGCAGACCGGGGGACGATGAAGACGCGCCGAGGGGCTGCCGGGCGAAGCCGGGGTGGGGGAGTCCGGCGCCTGCAGCTCCCGAGGCGGGGTGGTGGCAGGGTGAAGGGGTCCCCAGCGCCTGCCCTGGGAAAGCCAGGCTCAGGGCCCGGGAGGAGGAGGAGGCGGCGCGAGGCGGAGGTCCGCCTGGGGACCTCGGGTTCGGCTGGGGACTCCGGGCGCCGGGGAGGGAAGGGGGAGACGCCGGCGTCTCCGGGGCTGGGCTATGAAATCTAAGGCTCCGAGGTCCCCGGGGATGAGGAAGAGCATCCAGGATGTGGAGGAGGCGGGAGACGCTCGCCGAGAGGGGTCCCCGGGGTGGGCGCTGCCGGGCGGGCTGGGCCGGAATCTCACCTACCTGGTCCGCGGCGGCTGCGGGCGGAGCTGGGCTGCAGGAGGGACGTGGGGTGGGGTAGGGGGACCGGGCGGGGCCCCTGGCGGCGGCCGGGGCCCGGCTCTGTCGCTCCGGAGCCCTGTCTCCGCGGCTCGCGCGGGCTCCGCGTCTCGGGCTCCGGCTTGGGCGCCGGGGACCCCCCTCCCCCTCACCGTCTCACAGTCCTCACCCCCTAAAATAGACCCCCCTCCCCGCCCTTGTCAGCGTTCAGTCTCCCCCCGCGAGGCCAACGCCGCCAGATCCAGGGGTGCCCGCCAGCGCCCCCCAAATCCCACCTTCCCCCCACCAAAAAAAAAAATTTTTTTTCTCCTCCCTCCCCCTCCCCCCCGCCACCGCTCCCGGGCGGTCGCGGCCCCTTTAACAGGAGACTGACAGACGGCCCTGAGTGGCCAATGAGAGGCGGCGTCGGTGCCGGCCGGCGACTAGACCCCGCCCCCGCACGGGCCGGGAGGGGCGGTGCGGGCGGAGAGCGAGGGGCGGGGCGAGAGGCGCGCCGGCCAATAGGCGAGCGGCGTGCGGCGGCTGGGGCGGGGGGCGGAGCCCGGCAGGGGGATGATGTCACCCGGAGCGAGCGGCGCGCGGCTGGGGACGCGAGTCGCGACCCCGGGTCCCGGCAGGGGCGCGCCGGGCGCCCCGCTCCGCTCGGGACGCCGAGGGCTGGGAGGAGGCTAAAGGCTGGGGTTGCACGGTGAGGGATGCTCCGGGAAGGCCTGGCGGCTGGGGTGAGTGCCCAGCGGGGAAGCGCGCCTTCTCCCGCAGCCCTGCGCCCGCCTCGGAGCTGCACGCGCGGCACCCCTCGCCCCGGCTCCCACGCGCGCGAGCGTGCGGCCTGCAGGGCTCCCCCGGCGGACGAGGCTCATGGTTCGCTCCGCCCCGCCCACGCAAAGGCCGCCCACCGGTTCCTGCTGCTTCAGGAACTGGGGCGGCCCGGGGAGTCGGGGGGCAGGGTCGTTCTCGCTGCCCTCGGACTTGCACTCCCCTGGCTTTTCTGCCGCCTGGGTGTGCGCGCGGCGTCTCCCCCTCCCCGGGCCCCCCAGCTCCCCCACACGCTCCAAGCCCAGGACAGACACACGCAGACACTGGGTGAGGGTGGAACGTCTTTAAATAAGGAAACCGACGACAATAAATACTGTACAGGGGTGAGGGGCCGGGTCTGCGCTTTCAACCTCGGGACTCCAAGGACCTGCGGGGGGAGGGTGAAGAAAGGGGGAGCCAGGCTCAGGGGGAGGGGAGACCATCGGCAGGGGAGGAGGGCGGCGGGGGCAGGGGAGCAGAGGGGCCGGTGTGGGTGTCCGGGCTGAGGGGGCAGGCAGTGTGGTGACCGGTGGGTGGGGGGGCTTACGAGTAACTGTGGTGCTGCTGGCGCCGCCGGGCGGAGCGCATCTTCTCGAAGCGGGCCTCCATCTCCTCCAGCACGCGCGGCGTGTAGCGCACCACCAGCTTCACGGAGCCCTGGGCCGCCTTGAGCAGCTCCACTGCCTTCTCATGCTGCTCACCCTCCACGCTCTGCAGGGCGGGCGAGGGGACGGGGCAAGGCAGGCCTGGGCCTGGGGGCGGGGGTGCCCTCTGCCACCAACTGCCGCTGCAGCCCCGTGCCAGGCCCCAGATGCCAGGCCTCCTGTTCTCCTCCTGGGAGGGCCATTAACTCTTGGCTCGTCATCCTCCCCCGAAATCCTTCCAGGTTCCCACGGCTGTGGGGACAAGCCGCGTGGCCCCTAGGCGGACGCCCAACCCCCGAGTCACTTGCCCCCTGCACCTGCTTAGGCCGGCAGACCCTTATCCTCCAGCCCCCTCCTCCAGCGTCACCCTCCTCTCCCGCCCGACCCCGTGAAGCCCCATGAGGTCTTTGTAGACACTGCTTCCCTAAGTTGAGCCCCAGCACCCTTGGGACCAAACTCTCAGGTGGGCAGGCACTGAATATAAGGCTGATCTCCAACACCAGCGATGGTGGTCTTATACCCCTGGGTGCCCCAGAACGCCCTCCCCTCATCAATACCTGACAACTATGGCCAAAGCCCTCGCCGCAGCCACAAACCCCTCCAATTCCAATGCTGCCGAGGCAGGCCCGGGGCTCAGCCGGTCAAGCCTCCCGCCCCCAATTCCACGCCTATGTCATAGCCCCAGATCAGGATGGTCACCAGGACCCTGCTCGGTCAGCGCAGTGGACATGGCACACAGGGCCAGCACCTGCCCACACTCACCACGCCGTTCACCGACAGCAGCTGGTCTCCACGCTTGAGGCCCCCATGGCGGTCGGCCACACCCCCGGGGATGACCCGGGAGATATAGATGGGGGAGTTTTGTTCTTTGCCACCCATGATGTTGAAGCCCAGGCCCTCGTCCGTCTTGGGCAGTTCCACGACCCTGGGATGTGCGTGACCCTCGCTGGCCGTGAAGGCAGCCACCGTAGCCTGAGGACAGAGAGAGTCCTTCTGTGGAGTTGAGGGTCCTGCCACAGTAGATGTGAAGTGTTGGAGGGGGTCCAGGGGGTCCAGGCTGCTGGAACCCAAGCATGGGACTCAATCCAAGCCCACCCTGTGCTTGTCGCCCCATGCCACTCCGCAGGAGTGGGTCTGCACCTGCCAGGCTAGGCTGGGAGGGAGCCCGCCCATCGCCGGTTCTTGTCCTGCAGTTGCTGGAGGTTCTGTTCCAGCCACACAGGCAGGACCCGGTCCCTTTGGGTGGTTGACCAACACACACGCTTTTAAATGACATTTGCTGGAGTTTGAAATATGCGATTATTTAAAGGGCAGTATAAAAATAAGTGATGAAGGTGGTAGGGCACTGCCAGGGAGGAACAAGGACCAGCGTGGAGAGGGACCTGAGATGGACCCAACGCCAAGGGCAAAGACGGGTCAGGGCGCCTACCTTGGCTGTGGCGTGGGCGCGGATCTCGGCGCTGCCCGCGATGTCCAGCGTGTCATACAGCTGCTCGTACACCTGCGAGAGGACGCATGGGGGCAGCTGCCAGCTTCCTGCCCCGGGCCTCCAGACCCTCCCCCTGCACCCCAGGAGCCATCCCGCCCCCGCAAACGGAGCCCCAAGGAAATCTACAACTCCCGAAGCAGCCGGGAGCCCGAGGCGCACTGGCGCCCTGCGGGAGCCGCCGTCCGGGGGATGCGAGGCTGGGGGACATCGGCTCTCACCTCCCGGATGGCGGAGCAGAAACGGCTCTGCAGGACCCGCTGGAGGGCCTGCAGCTTCTGCGGAGGCAGCTCCCCGCTGCGCTGGAGCCGCTCCAGGAGCTCCACGGCCCGGGACACGTCTGCGGGGGCGGGGCGCGGAGTCAGGGGGCGCGAGGACGGCGGGAGCCGGGGAGACCCGGGCCGGCGCGGGGCGTCCAGGAGCGCCCGGGCCGGACTGCGCCCCTCCGACCGGGCCTCCCGCAGCAGCAGGGGTGCGCGCCGGACCCTCCCACGCCAGCCCCGCCCACCCCGCCGGGTCCGCCCGCCCGCCGCGCCCGGCCCGGTGCCGGGATCCGGGGACGCAGGCCGCGGCTCGGCTGGCCAGGGCCCCCTGGCGCCGCTCACCCCGCTCCAGCCCCAGCCCCAGCGGCTCCACCAGCGCAGCCATGTCGGCGCCGCCGCTGCCAGCCGCCCGCCAGCCCCGTCGCCGGCGGGGGCGGGGCTGCGCGAGGCCACGCCCCGCGGCTCGGGCGCGCGCGCGCGTGACCGCGACCGCCCGGCCCGCGCGCGCGCCCGCTCCTCCTGCGGCGTCAGGGTGTTCGCGCCTCGTCCACCGTCCTGTCCGCCGCACCTCTTTCCTTTCCCCACGTTTATTCCACAAACGCTGCTTCTCCATCCCGGCTGAGTGGACAGGGCCGAGTCCGCGTCCCCAGGACTGCAGGGTGTGTGACAGGAGGGCCACGACTTGCTGTCCTGGCAGAGGTGCTGTAGAGGACACATCTGGACTTTTTTAAAAAATTCATTTTTACTGGAATGTCAGATATATAGAGAGGAGAGACAGAGAGTAAGATCTTCCATCTGCTGGCTCACTCCCCGGGTAGCTGCAATGGCCAGAGCTGAGCTGAGCTGATGAAAAGCTAGGAGCCAGGAGCCTCTTCTGGGTCTCCCACGCGGGTACAGGGTCCCAAGGCTTTGGGCCGTCCTCGACTGCTTTCCCAGGCCACAGGCAGGGAGCTGGATGGAAACTGGAGCAGCCGGGACATGAACTGGTACCCATATGGGATGCCAGTGCGTGCAAGGTGAGGACCGCGTGGAACATCTTCCATCCACCAGTTCACTTCCCAAATGGCCCAGGCATGGGCCAGGGTAAAGCCAGGAGCCCCGCGTGGCCCTGAACTCCAGCCATCCCCAGGCGCAGCAGCAGGAAGCTGGACAGGAAGTGGAGGAGCAGGGATGCAGGCTCCACGGCACTCACTTCCTTCCGGCCACAGAAAGCAGCAGCCCTGGGCCCTCTGCACCTCCGGGGTGGACAGGGCTGGCCGGGGCGTCGCGAAGGCCGCTTGCCCGTTCCTGCCCTTCATCTCCACAGTGGCAGCTCTAAGGTGAAGCTCACGTCCCGTCCAGCCGCGCGTGCGCTGCGGAACCCAGGTAAGAGTGATGACGGTTCCTTACCTGGGATTCCACGTACCTCTTCTCTCAAATTCTCCAACGCTGTTTCACTGAATCGTCTTGTCCCCAAGCTTCCTGAAAACTTCACTAAAAGCTGGTGACATTCCCGCCATGTCTCTTTTCCCCCTTTGCAATTTGCCTCCAGGGCAAGGCTCCCAATGTGAGGGTCAGTTCAAATCCCAGCTGCTCCACTTCCTATCCGGCTCCCTGCTAATCTGCCGCTGACAGAAGCGGGGACGGCCTAAGCAGGGCCCCTGTCCCCGCAGAGGGAGACCCAGATGAAGCTCCCGGCCTCAGGCTGGACCAGCTTGGGCCATTTTGGCCATTTAAGCCAGCAGATTGGAAAACTATCTCCCTTCCAAATACACATGTATTTAATGGAGATGCAAAGGACACTCCCCTACAGTGACAGGGCTGGGCCAGAACAGCCCCCTGGATCCCCCAGGGCCTGCATGCAGGAAGCCGGACAAGGGGGAAGCCTAACCCAGGTGCCCCTCACAGGCGTCTCAACTCCTAGGACCCACCCCCAGCTCCTCTGAGCAGGCTGCGCACCTCTCCAAGCTTATGCAGGTGCTTTCCCAGCACTGGGTGGCTCAGTCTCATCAGCTACTAGATCCCCTTCTGGGCTCTTCATCTGCCGCCGCTCCCTGGTGGACAGTTCCCAGGTGCTTCTCCGGGTTGCAGTTCTCACCCCCCAGTTGTCCCAGTGTGCAGGCCTCTCTCCAGCTCATGCATGGGCAGCACGGAGTGGCGCCCGACGCACACCCTCCTCCTGGCCTTGCCCAGGGCAGCTGCACTCCTTTGGCCTTCCAGGGTAACGCTGCCTTTCTCCACCAGCAGGAGCTCCCACCCGAGAAGGCTGCGTGTGCACGAGGGGCCCAGAGCCTTGGGGGCTCCCCACAGCTGACTGACCCAGGGCCCTTCTCTGGTGTCTATACACTGCATATGCTAGGGGAGGAGCTGGACACATGGGTTCTCCTGCCATAGCTGCTCCCTGCCGCTCCCACAGGCTGACAGTTCTTACACAGCCAGTGGGCTTGTGTCCAACTTTGCTCCAAAAAAAACCAGGCAAGCCAGAACAGCAGATCCAACAGAGGCAGCGGTCTCTGCTCACTGAAGAGCAACAAGGAAATCAGGATACCCACTATCAACAGGAAGTTAACTTTATTTTTAAATTCAGGGGACAAAGAGACTCTTTCCTTGGGAGAGCAAAGAGGTGGCCAGGGCAGGGAGAGGAGCACAGCGAAGGGTGGGGAACGGCTGGGCAGCACGGCCTCCTTCACTCGGGCGCGGACTCCATCAGGTAGCCATTCTCAGGAGCAAGGTACCCGTCGCCACCCTCGGGCTCCATGTACATGTCTCGGCCATCGCTGCCCATACCTTCCAGCCCGTTGTCCTGGCCGCCACCACCCCCACCTCGGGCCTCATCCCTACCCCGTTCCCCACCCCGTTCCCCCCGTTTGTGGTCGCGGTCCCGGTCGCGGTCCCGGTCCCTGCGCCGCTCTCGCTCACTCCGGTGGCTCCGCCGCCGGTCCCGGTCACGATCCCGGCCCTTCTCCTCGGGGCCATCGGGGCCGTCGGGACCAAGCTCTCCAGCAGGCCCATCCTCAGGAGGTGCATCCCCTGCCTCTGAGGGCTCTGCCATGTCACCACCGCCACCTCCTCCGCCACCACCGCCACCACCACCGCCACCACGCAGCTCCTCCTTGCGCTCCCGCTCGCGTCTTGCCCGCTCCCGGCTCCGACTGCTGCGCCGCTTCCGGTCCCGGTCCTTGTCCTTGCTCCGCTCCCGGGAGCGCCGTCGCTCATCCTTGTCTCGGCTCCGTGAGCGTCTCCTCCGGTCCCGCGAGCGGGAGCGCCGCCGTTCCCGCTCCTTGTCTCGCTCACGGCTCCGCTCTCTGCGCTCCCGCTCACGGTCCCGGTCCCGGTCCCTGTGGGGAAGCGGGGAGGGGCCGGGCCTGGATGAGGTGGGCAGAGGTGTGCAGCAGGGCTCCCCCCACCCTTGAGCACCCCTACCTGGAACCCAGGTTCCCCAATCCTACCTTTCGTCGTAGCGGGATGTATCATCACGGCCCGAGTGCCGGATGTTCACGTCGGCCCCACCTCTTCTGGTGCCCCCGAGGCCCCCTCCTGGAAGCGGTGAGGTGAACAGGGTCAGCGTGAGCAGAGCCAGAGCCCCAAAGCAGCAGCATCGTGGGGATTCCAGAGCAGAGGGCAAGAAGCCCAGCACCTTGATGATGCCCAGTTGACAGGTCCTGTGCCAGGAACCCCTCACAATGCTCTCCCCACTCCTCACTGCTGACCACATTTTGCAAGAAGCACCAGGTGGCAAGCACTGTATGAGAACCCGACTCAAAGCTCATTGGTACCCATGGAGCAATGAGCTGCCCCGTGCCCTGCAGGCCGCCTCTCCCTCTCACACACTGGAAGTCAGTGCTGGCTCCATGTCCTGGCCCCTGCCCCAGGTCACACACACCCCATCCTTAGAGCATCTCTGGGTACTCTACTGCACTCATTCCCATAACCCAGACTTCGCGACGCGCTCCAGCCTGCCAGGCAGCACCCTGTGGGACACTGGCCTGGCAGCAGACCAGGAACAGCACCTTGCACAGGAAGGCCCGCCAAATGCAGGACTCAGAAGGTCTGTCACCTGTCCACCTCAACTTGGCAAAACACTGTAGACCCTGCCTCAAGTCCTCTCTCCCGGGGCCTAGGAGGAAACAGTACCACAGGCTAAGGTCTCATCACAATGGAAGAAAAGTGGCTGCTTGAATGCCAGGGAACTGGCAACTGACCAGGAACAAGGCAGCCATGCTACAGGTTTCAATTTTCAGCTTATTTGCATGAGTTGCAAACAACACTTTAAAAAACTGAAAAAAAGAAAAAAAAGGGCCCAGCACTATGGCCTAGCCACTCAAGTCCTTGCCTTGAACACACCGGGGTCCCATATGGGCACTGGTTCTAATCCCGGCAACTCCACTTCCCTTCTTGCTCCCTGCTTGTGGCCTGGGAAAGCATTGGAGAACGGCCCAAAGCCTTGGAACTCTGCACCCGCATGGGACACCTGGAAAAGCTGCTGACTCCTGGCTTCGGACTGGCTCAGCTCTGGCCACTGCGGTGGCCAGAAGTGAATTATAGGATGGGAGATTTTCTTTTTTGTTGTTCCTCCTCTATTTATATACCTACTTTGCAATACAAATAAGTAAATCTTTAAAAAAAAAAAAAACACCCTGGAGAAAAGGGAGGCACTGCAGTCTCCACCCTGGCAGCTGGGACATCCACATGCGAGCACTTGGGTCTCATTCCCAACAAGATCCAACGTCCTGCTAACACACTCTGCAAGGAAGTGGTGGGGCTGAGCAGCTGTGTCCTGTCTTTGGCCCAACCAACTCCAAGCTGCCTTGGACAACTGGACAATGAGCCACCATGGGCACACTCTATTCCTCTCTGCATGTCTGCCTCACATACACAAATCAGCAGAATATGAAGTTCATGGAAAGCTAGAATGAAAAGACATAAACTTATTTGGATGCAAAAACTCTTGAACATGTGCATGTTTTTTAACAGCAAACATCTGAGATAAACGTCCTTAAGCCATGGCATACTAGTGGACACTGCAAGCAGAGCACCCTGCCAACTCGGCCACCAGGAAGGCTGTCTCCCCGACAGGCAGGCAGAGCCTTGAAGGCACGAGCGACCCAGAGCCAGCCAGGAGCCCAGCATCAGCAGCAGTGTCTATCCACAAACTGTCACAGGCGCACCAGAGTGGCAGGCCCTCGGTCTTCCACCCCTCCAGGCCCAATCCCAAGTCAATCATGAATCTGGCCCGGAGGACTGTGTAGCACAGGGAGTACTAGGACACAGTATCACACTTGGTGAGGGCCCGGAGACCAGTCCACACATGGCCAATGACAGAAGCAAGCAGCAGGAACGCAGTGCTACGCTGTCCAGGTCCCGAGGGTCATGGCTATGACCCTGTGTTTCTGGGGGCTCAGTGTAGTTCTAACTGCAAACAAAGTGACCTAAGATGGCAAATGACAAACCACATGATGATTTCTAGGGAAATTCTTGGGGCAGGCTGCCCATGCTGTGCCTGAGCACAGCTCATCATCAGAATTACCTGCTGAATCAATGACCAACAACCAGGAGCACCAGCCCCGGACAAGTAGATGAGTGACACTGACAGGTCCCGGCATGTGGCCCTGCCACACTGGGACGCGGACAAGCTGAGCCAAGGAACACTAAGGCACTCACTCTGCCCAGGAGTGGAGAGCCCCAGCTCACACCTGCCACTGGGCTGCCACATAGGATGTGTACAGCAGTGCCACCACAGGCAGGAGATGCCTACCTAGCCGCCGGGGCCTCCAGCCCTTCACGGTCCGGCCCCGCTCCACATCCACAAGGACCCTCCGGCCATCAATCTTCTTGCCGTCTGCATGCTTGTAAGCGGCTGCAACAGACGTAGGGAGAGGGAGGGGAGGAGAGTCCCCAGAGATACTCTAGTGAGGAAAGGTGCAGGGTTGAGGCATCCCCACCCCATGGGGCCCCATCCTCACTCGCACTCACACACACACCCCAGCCAGCCAGGCAACTGACAGCCATATCAACCCTCTCCCAGCCCCGGGAAGGGCCTGCTCCATCCTGGCACCACTGACTCTTCCTTCACACCCCAAGCACTGCTTGGGGCAGCAAGACCCTGCCCCACCTGCCAACACCCTGGCCTCCCAAGGCCCTTTCTACTCCCACAGATGGAGCAGCCCCCTCCTGCTAGGGCGGCCAAAGTTGCTGCAAAGAAACTGGAGGTTAACCGAATGCTGGACTCTACTGTGGGGTGGGGGCTCTCCCACAGCCTCAGGCATGCACCCTCAAACATGCTGGGGCAGGAGGCCCACCGGGCCACTCCACACCCCAGGCCACACCAGTTCCGTTTTCTCTGGGTTTTATTATTATTATTTTTTTGGTGGAGGGGAGAAGAGTGAGCATGGGTGAAGAGACCTCAGAACAGAAAATGAACCAGAAATGGGCAGGAGGAACCCTTGGAAACGGCAGGAGCGGGAAGGCAGCCATGAGCTCCCAGGGACCTGGAGGGAGGCCCGGGGAGACGTGCGCTGGAGAATGTCCCTGCCTTACCTGCGCCGGCTGACCCTGTGCCCCAGACCCCCTGTCAGCTCAGCCTGCGCCCGTAAGGACTGGGGGCGGAGGAGACACAAGAGCTGCTGCCGCCCGTGGGCCCCGGCCAGGCAGGGAGGCCACAGGTCCCTACTGCCCCCACCCAAGCCTGGCCTCAGAAGCTGTCCTCGACCAACCACGAGGAACACCCTGCCCGCCCCAGCCCGCCCCCCAATAACAACCAGAGGAAGAGAAAAAGGTGCCATTTACCGAAGCCGGCCTTGCGGGTGTCCAAACCGAGCGGGATGGGGGGGGCTCGGCAACTCCTGGGGGACTGGCGAGGAGGCGGGCTTCCCGGGGAGGGGGGACCACGGGACTGCTTACCTGGAGCCCCCAAGCTTACCTGAACATGCGCACAGACCCCACACCCACAACCAAGGGGTCAGCTAAAGCTACAGGGAGGGATATGGGAGTTGTAGGGAGCCCCGCCAGAAAGGACCCACACCTCTCACACCTGGAGACAGGCAGAGGAAGGAAATGCTGGACCCCCAAAAACCTCATGGAGGCCTTAATGAGGAGCAGACAGGCACCCAACCGGCAAAGCTGGCAAGCCCTTGGGCTGATCTTGCTTCCATTTACAAAGCAACCAGTCCACCCTCACCAATTCCCAGCACAGCCCGTGCTCCATGTGGCACAGGCCTCTCCCAGGCCTCAGCCCAAGGCCCCAACACAGGGGAGACTCCAGGGCCAGGAGGTGTAGTGCTGCCACACTCGGAGGAGGGGGCCACACGGCCCCTTGCCCAGAGGAGCATCGGGGAAGAGAGAAGGCATTCAAGGCCCGAATACGGTCGACCAAGGAACCCCGCTTGGGTTTAGTGTCCCAAACCCCAGAAGAGGCCCAACCCTGAAGAAACAGCAAGGAACATGTGTGATTGTGTCACCTAGGCCTCCCTCCCTCTCTCTCTTGCTCTCTCCTCAAGTCTCCAGGCAGTGGAAGGGTCTCATGTAAAAGCCTGCAACACCTCAGCCATTTGCAGCCTGCCTCCAGAACCCTCCCACACCCCGGGCCAGACTCCAGGCCCTTTGGGGTGCTCCTGCCCACTCTGCACCTCAGGAACAGACTGGCTACTACAGCCAGCCCGCAGGGGCCTGACCAGGACAGGAAGCCAGGAAGCAGGCACAGCCCCCAAGACTGTCCAGGGACAGCCCAGTGACAGCCCCACAGGAGGAAAACAAGGAGTGTGGGGGCTGCAGGGTTCCACGCAGATCCCTGGCCCTGGTGCAGCCCGTCTCCAGTGTGCCCCCTCACCACTGCTGCTACCAGCCTGGGCGAAGCCCACGTGCAGAGGACTGCCTCGCCCGTCAGAGCTCCTACTGCTCTCTGGGATCAGCATGAGCACCTGGGCACACATGGATGGGGCACCCCAACAAGGAAAGGGCTGAGGGGCGACTGGGAGGGAGGAGGGGCGCCTCGCTGCTCCTGAGCTGCCTGGCTAAGCTGGGCTGGTGTGCGGTGCTGAGTGATCTTACCCATGATACAAACCCTTATACCAACCATACACTGAGGTGTTGTAAGGGGAGCGTAAGCATCAGCTGCAAGCCAGCTGCGTGGTGGCTGCAGTGACAATAAGAACAGTCAATTAATATGGCGGCCCCTGGACACGCCGCAGCCCTGCCCGCCCCCACCCGCCCATCCCGGCCCATGTGGACGCCGCCGCAGCCTCAAAGGGGCTCTGGAACTGTGGGGGCAGGCGGTAGACATGCCTATCACCCCACTGCCCACTGAGGGACAGGGTGGGGGCCAGGGGTGGGGAGGTGGAGGGTGGGTGGCCCAGCCCCAGCTCTACTGGGGAAAAGGAGGGCAGGTTCAAAGGCCAGTCCTCGTTTCAACCTAATAGGGAGAGGCTCCCCAAAAATCCAAGCCCTCCCCCCCTCCAGCTGGCCCCAGCCCCCAGCCAGTTCCTTCCTTGCCCAAGAGGGTCAACGTGTGGCACTTACCTCCCCAGGTTCACACACACACACACACACGTTGTGGGGGATTTTGTTTTTGTTTTTTTTTTTAAACACGTAAATAAAAAAAAAAAGATATATCAGAAACAGAGGGAGAAGGAGAAGAGACACTGCTAACATCAGGTGGGGGGTGGGTACAGGGGACAGACGGGGAAGGGCTGGGGCAGCAGGGAAGTGGGGGCCGGCGAGGAGGGCCGGGCAGAGGTGAGGGCCAGCGGGCAGGGCTGGGCGGAGGTACTCACAGTGCATGTCCCGCTCATGCTCGTACTCAATGAAGGCGTAGCCCCGGGGCTTTCCAGACCGCTTACTGTAAACCATGTGTATCTGTGGGGCAGGGGAGCCAAGGTCAGTTCCACCCCAGGATCCCACCTCATGTCATGCCAGCCTGCTGCCAGAGGCTCAAGCAACAGTCCCACAATTTCTCCTCTGAAGGCAAGAGCAGGGACACAGTGGGAAGCAGAGGCAACAACCCTTAGGTTGAAACCTAACAAATGGCCCGAAAGAGTGAGGGATCAGGCTGTCATGGAAACAGCAGCAAATCCAGGGCCCATGGGCTGGGCGGGGAGGCAGGGGGCCAAGGCGGCAGGAAGGGGGCGCTGCGGCTCTGGGCATCTGGATCACGGCTGGATGAGAGGACCCTCAGATAAGGCCACTCAAGTGGGCACTCCTCGGAGCAGACGTGTGTGGGCAGGCCACACCGCCAGAGGCAGGAGCTGGGTGAGCCAACCAGGGGCGGGAGGGGGCTCCAGGGGCAAGAGAAGGGTCTGTGCAGACACTAAGCCAGCAGTGCTGAGCCACGGAGCAGACGTCAGCAGGAGCCTACAACACCGGGAGGAGCAGTGCTGGCCGAGCCCCGCAAGAGGACAAAGCAGGGCAGGAGGACCCCTGTGTGCAAGGCCAGGCTGGGAAGTGATGGGAAGCCATGGAATTGAGGAAAGGCGCCAAGTCAGCCCTGGACGTCAAGAAGACAGCTCCAGGGTGCAGTGCATCCGGGTCTAGGCTGGGGTCAGGGCGGAGCAGGGTGACCTTCTCAAGGTCAGCTCATTCTCCTGTCACTCCATAAGTAGCAGCAACCAAAGACAGGCAGGGCTCTGGAGTGACTCAGTCCCCAGTAGGACCTGAGGCCTGTCCCCCGCACCGCAGCCTCCAAGCCCCAACTCAATCCAGACACAACAGTAGGGGCCAGGGCTCTTCTGGAAGCCCTCAACAATAGTGCATCAATTCTTTTTAGAGCTTGGCAGTGGGGGGTGGGAGTCCTGCCTGGCACTGGCCCAGTATGCCTGCCAGCAAGGCAGCCCCCCGGGGTGTGGGCTGGAAAAGGCCCAGCCTCTAGGCCCTAAAAGGACTTGGACCCTGAGCTTATGAATACGCCGGGAGCAAGCATCCCTGAGCTGGTGACACTGCTGACAAGTGGGAGGCCAGTCCCTGAGCTGGGTGCAGCCAGGCAGTCTGCTGTTACCCTGCCTGGCTTGCTCCCCACTGCCATGCCCCACTGCACCCCTCCCCTGGGCAGGGAACTTCCAAAGCCGCCCCTCCTGCTCCGACCGAAGTCCTGCACACTGTCATGGCAACAAGGAGCACTCAAGTGACTTTAAGATGCAACTAAACACAAAGCCTCGCTCTATCAGTGGGCCAGCGGCCGAGGTCTCCTGTCAGGGCCAGGCAGTGCCACTCCAGGCCTGAGCCCAGTCACCACCCCTCAGCACTGCCTCAGTGACAGCAGCAGGTGGCACCGCTGGCCAGAACCCGCCAGTGCTGAGCTGCACCCAGCAGCTGTGGGTTCCCATCTCACTCGCATTCCCCAAGGTCTGTGACCCACACAACGTGTAGTCAAAATGCAAATCCTGCCCCGGAATGACATGCCATGTGACTAGCATCGGGAACCCAGACTTTCCTTCAGGCCCTCAGCACCTTGCCCACGCACCCCCACTTCAGAGACCCCCGTCCCAATGCACTTACTCTTTTAATGGGCCCATACACCTCAAACTCTCTCCGGAGCTTGGATTCTGTTGTGTCATAGTTCTACAGGGAGACAAACATGGAATGAAACGGGAAGCGGGAGCGACCCCAAACCCCCAGGGCACTCCCAGCACCCACCCCACTGCCCACTCTCCCAGAACTGTCTCTCAGAGCCGGGGGACTCACCACTCTTGCCACAAAGAGGGTCTTGAAGGCATCGCCCTGAGCATTAGGGTCATTGTGAGGGTCCCCTGTGAGGAACACAGCTCTAAGCAGGTGGCCACAGAAGCAGGCAGCAAGACACGCAGAGGCCAGGCTAGGGGTACGCAGCGACCTGCCTGACGCTCCTCAGCGCTCAGGGCAACAGAGGTGGCCTGCGCTGGGGCACGCAGCAGGCTGCCCTGCAAACCTCAGGGGCCCCGCTCTGGGCCAGACTTGTCAGGAAAGGCAGTACAAACGTCAGCTGCCAAGCTGTACTGGAGGCCATTCCACTGCCCACTGAACACATGCTGCCGCCACGGCCCCCAGGCAACCCTGAGGATGAAAACAGGAGCCAAGAGGACCCGGAGCGTCACTTCCTCAGTGTGCTGTGGCCTCAGGAGCAGCCAGGACACCACTGCTGCCCCAGCCTAACCCCACCCAGCCAGCTGGCCACGGGGGTAGGGGGGAACCCACACACCTAGATCCACACAACAATGCCTGGCACTGGGGCACCGCACCCCTCATCAAGAGTCCCCATTTGGGCCCAGCACAATAGCATAGCAGTTAAAGCCCTCGTCTTGAACACGCCTGGGTCCCATATGGGTACCGGTTCTAATCCCAGCCGCTCCACTTCCCATCCAGCTCCCTGCCTGTGGCCTGGGAAAGCAGTCGAGGATGGCCCAAAGCCTTGGGACCCTGCACCCATGCGAGACCTGGAAGAAACTCCTGGCTTTGGATTGGTTAAGCTCCAGCCGTTGCGGCCACTTGGGGAGTGAACCATCACATGGAAGATCTTCCTCTCTGTCTCTCCTCCTCTCTGTGTATCTGACTTTCCAAATAAAAGTAAATAAATCTCTAAAAATAAACAAATATGTCTTTAAATAAAAAAAAGTCAACTGTCGGCTGCTCTGGTCCTGTTTCAGCTTTCTGCTAATACAATCCCGGGAGGTAACTTGTAGCAGACAGAACATCCAGCCCGAGTTCAGGCCTGGCTCAGTCCCGGTGATCACAGGCATCCGAGGATTCGAACATCCCACAAAGCTCTCCCTCTCTGTAGTTTGAAGGAAAGCCCATCCAGTCCACAGGCATTCCCGGTGCCGGCCAGCCCGACGCTGGGCAACAAACCAGCAGACAGAAGATGTCTCTCCTGCTGCCTTTCCAATCAACAAAAATCACGGGGCCTGCAGAGTGGTCTAACCGGGGAAAGCTGCTTCTTGCTATGCAGCCCACAGAGATGCTGGCTGCACACCGGCTATCCCGCTTCCTGTGGACAGCCTGGGAAAGCTGTGGGACCCTGCACAAAGGAGACGCAGTCCCCTGGGGGAGTGACCAGCAGACCCGAGGAGCCCCTCTACCGCTCCCTCCCTCCCTGCAACTGTTTCAAATACGTCAGTCAGTCTTACAGATACACACTTCCTAGATGGCGAGATGGTGCAAGCCCAGTGGCTCAACTGGTTCCTGGCTTTGGATGGACTCAGCTCTGACCAGAGGCCATCATGGGAGTAAAGCCGCGGGGGAAAAAAAGGGCACAGAGATGCTGGCCAGCACCCACTGTGTGCCCAAGTGACCTCCCTGTTGCCTGCAGCCCACCACGGGGAAGTCTGCAATCAAAGGTCTCATCCAGGCACCAGCCCAGAGCAGGCGCAGCGGTGAGAAGCCCTGTGGGCCTGCACAGCCCAGGCTCTCCCTCTGTCAACAGACAGGCCCCCAGCAGATCAAAGGAAACCAGCATTAAGCACGTCAAGCTCAGCCGCTGGAAAAGCCCAGAGCAAGAAGAATTGTGCACGCTCGGCAAGGAGCACCCCCTAAGCTCTGCCCTCTGGGGTGACTGGGGCGACTGGTGCCAAGGGGCACAGTGCTGCCCATCTCTGCAGCAGACAAGCTCACGCAACGGGCACAGTACCAGCACAGTGGTCCCTAAGAACTAGTTTCAACTACCAACATGTGGCTGAAAGTTTCCATCTCCGCCTTCCCCGCACTAGATTATTTCAAATCAAAGTCAGACATTCTGGCCTCTAACAGAAAAAGGTTTAAAAAGACAGTGGGAAGGAGAAAAAAAAACCCAATAAAAACACAGCACTAAGACATATCTCAAAAGTTAACTCAGTCCCAGCTGCCATGCTTCCAACCCAGAAGCTCGGGTCCCTGCAGCGACACAAGACAAGCAGGCGGACTTCCTGGCTCTGGTCTAACCTGGCCGTGGCCACTGCAACCATTTAGGGAGTGAACCTGCAGATAGAAGATCTCTATAACTCTGCCTTTCAAAACAAAACAAAACAAAACAAAACAAAACAAAACATGTCTGGTGTGGTAGTCTAGTGACTAAAGACCTCTTCTTGCATGCACTGGGATTCCATATGAGCGCTGGTTCTAATCCCAGCTGCTCCACTTCCCACCCAGCTCCCTGCTGGGGCCTGGGAAAGCAGGAGAAGGAGCTCCTGGCTTCAGATCAGCACAGCTCCGGCCATTGCAGCCACTTGGGGAGTGAATCACCGGATTGAAGATCTTCTTGTTTCTCTCTCTGTAAATCTCTCTTTCCTCTAAAAAGCCAAGTTCAGGGCCCGGCGCGGTGGCGCAAGTGGTTAAAGGTCCTTGCCTTGCACGCCCGGGATCCCATATGGGCGCCGGTTCTAATCCCGGCAGCCCCGCTTCCCTTCCAGCTCCCTGCTTGTGGCCCGGGAAAGCAGTCGAGGACGGCCCAAAGCTTTGGGAACCTGCACCCGCGTGGGAGACCCGGAAGAGGCTCCTGGCTTTGGATCGGCATAGTATCGGCCCGTTGCGCTCACTTGGGGAGTGAATCGGACGGAAGATCTTCCTCTCTGTCTTTCCTCTCTGTATATCTGCCTTTCCAATAAAAAAAAAATAAAAATAAATCTTTAAAAAGCCAAGTTCAGATCACTAGGCCTGAGCTAGTGGGAAGGGGCTTTGTTCTTCATGCTGAAAGGGAGAGGACGCTCTCAGGCCCGCAGGGCCACTGGTTAAGGGAGGCGGTGCACTAGTCAGAGGTGCAGGGGCCCCTGGGGGCTGCTCATGCTGGCCAGCCAAATGATTCCCCAAGACAGAAGCGCTGGGGAAAGCTCAGGGAAGGATAAAAAAAAAGGTGTTAGAAAGAAACCAGCTGGGGGAGCTGGTGCATGGTGCCTGCGATGCCAGCATCCCATGACGACTATTTAGGGCCTGGATGCTCTGCCTCTGACCCAGCTGCTGGCTGATATGCCCCAGTGCGTGGGTCCCTGCCACCCACACTGGGAGACAAGACCCTGGCTCCAGCCTGGCCCAGCTCTGGGCATCATGGCCATTTGGGGAGTGAACCAGCAGAGGGAGCTCTAATTCGGCCCTTCAAATAAATCCCTTGAAAAAGCTGTGTGATCAAGTGAGGGCCTGACCTGCAGAGCTGGATGGTTAAGTCTCAGGGAAGAAAACAGCCCAAGTTCAGGGTCCCAGGCCAGCAGGGGGCTAGGGTCCTTCTGAGCCCTGGGACAAGGCGACCAAGGAGGCTGACTGTCAGTGCTGCAGGCACTCCAGCAGCAGCCCAGTGCTGTCTGTCACCGCAGGGAACAGGCTGGGAGGGAAGCAAGTCACCCAAGCCTTGGGGAGGTGGGCGGAGAAGCCCGAAGCCTCTGCTGGGCTTCACTAGGCCCAAGGCATGCTGACAGGGCTAAGGGCTACAATGCACCTGTCTGCCACAATGCCCCGGCCCAGAGGCCACGGAGCCAAGGATGGAGTACCCACCTCACGGCCTCAGCCCACGTGAGACAGGCAGAACACTCCCATGCAGGAGGGGACGGGGTCTCCCCACCAACCCCACACCTAAACCCAGGGGGTAGCAGGCATGGGAGCTACATAAGCTCCCAAGCACCCAGTTTTCACACAAAGCAGGCTCTTGACGAGCACGCCCCGTGTGCCCCACAAAGCAACCCCACTTACACATCTTCAGCTCCGTCTCCACTTCCTGCTGGCGCCGTTCGATCTTCTCCCTTCTCTACGAGGAGCAAAGAGAGGCAGAGGTGAAAGCGGGTACAGCGCCCTGGTGTCAGCCCCTTCCGGAAAGAGGGGGCCCTGTGACCCGCCCCCCGCAGCCGGAAAGCCCAGACAACCCACCTTCCTCTCCATGCGCTCCTCGCGGGTCTCTGCACGCGTTGGAGGAGGGGCATCTCGAGGGTCCTAGGAACCACAAGAGGGGACGATGGAGGGACTTGGACAAACAGAAAGGGACATCCCCAGGGACCACAGTCCCCTCCACCCGCACACGCACAGCTGGGGTCACACTGGAGGCAAGGGAGAGACAAGATCAGTTGTGATTCACTGACCAAGGCTGTCTGCGAGCCCTGCAGTCTGTGACAACCTGACCAAGCGAAGCCACGCCCACTGGGCCCAGCCATCCAATCTCATCTCTGTGCTCATTAAGCAACACACACACACTGATCATATTTCACAGGTGCATCTTTACAAATAAAACCCCAGAAGTGGCACAGTGGGTTAAACAGCTGCCAATGATGTAGAGTCCCAGCTGCTCCGCGGACCAGACCAGATCCCTGCACCCACGTGGGAGATCCAGGAGACCCAGCCCAGGCCAAGCTGTCATGGCAGCCATTTGGGGAGTCAACAAGTCAAGACCTCCGAGTCTTGCCTTCTCTTGTATCATTCTTCCAAACAAATACTAGAAAAACTAAACCATAAAAAAGTAGAAGAACAAATAAGATTACACTGAAACAAAATAACCTGATCACTTGCATTTGTCTAAAGTGTCAATCTCCAGTGGAGAAGGAATCCCAGGTGCTGGTGGGAGCCCGCCCCTCAGAGCCCCAGAGGAGGGCCAGGGTTAGGGCTGGCCTGCCCCCTCACCCCAGCAGGCACTAGGACACTCCCTTGAGGGCCTGTCCCTGCTCATTTCACTGGCCAATAACATTTCCCAAGTGCCAGTCCGCAAGGAGGGCCAATTTGTACACAGCGCCTCTTTTCTGCAAAGGCCTGCTGGGCACTACCATCTCCAGCTGCACCCCCTCCTCATATCAGACTGTCTTCCTAACAGAAATACCCTGAAAAAGGGGTGCTGTCACCCCAACCTCACCCATGGCAAATAAAGATACAGGACCCAGGCTGCCCAGGGACTCTTGCCCATGGGACAGAGCCATCGCCCCCAGGCCACAGTCTCAAACACTCTGAGCACACACTGCCAACCCTTCCTGAGCAACAAAAATGAGACAGCCAAACACCTCAACATTTGCAGATTCAATTAAAAACTCTAACTCAATTGTATTGGCAAGGCAGACCCACAGAGATCTTTCATCTGGTGGTTCGCTCCCCAAATGGCTGCAACAGCAACCGGCGGTAGGCCAGCCTGAAGCCAGGAGCCAGGAGCATCTTCGAGGTCTCCCATGTAAGTGCAGGGTCCCAAGGCTTTGGGCCATCCTCCACTGCTTTCCTAGGTCACAGGCAGGGAAAGGGAGCAGCCGAGACATGAACCTGTGCCCATATGAAATGCCAATGCCACAAAGCCTTAAGCCTTCCATGCCAAGCACTGGCCCCTTACTGGCCAATTAGTGCCTAGTGTTAATTGCTTTGTGCAACTCCTGCTGATGAACCCAGGCCTACAGGGGACTCAGTCCTGGCCCAAGATCACAGAGCCAACATGGTGGTGGCACTCCACAGTCCCTCATCACCCAATCCCCTCAGAACCTTTCAAGGCCAACGTGACTAAACCCCACTCGCTAGCACGGAGCTGGGGGGCTGCAGCCCTGCACCCCAGGGCCATCCCCACTCACCTCAAACTCCCGGATGTAGGGTGCGATGCCGCAGTAGGGCTGGTTGTGGTGTTTCTCATGCGGCAGTTTCTCCAGGGGCGGCAGGTACGGAATGGGGTCCCGGGGCGCAAAGAGCGCCAAGAGGTTGGGCGGCAGGAACTGCGTCATGTTGCCGGGTCTGAGGGCGAGAGGCAGTGCAGGCTGAGCCGACGGGGGGCGAAGCCCTGCACCCCCAGCACCCGGGGCCCCGCACGAGGAGGGACAGCGCGAGGGGCGTGTCTGCCGCGGGAGCCGCCGCAAGCGCAGAGCCGCACGTTCTAGAAGGGGGCGAGGCCGTGCAGGGCCACAAAGGCGGGACAGGGGCGCAGGGGGCGCAGTCCGGGGCGCCCCCACCTCGCACCCCGCGGGCTGCTGGGTAACACAGCAGCCTGAAAGGCATTGTGGGTAATGGTCTAGGGCGCCCCGGGAGACGACCGGACCGCAAGGGCCTGTGGGAACGGGACGGCGGCGGCGGGCGGGGGCGCCTGTGGCCGCAGGGCCGAGGGGCCCGGGAGGTTCCAGGGGGCGCAGAAGGCTGCGGCGGAGAGGGGGAGGGCGTGGACGGCGCCAGGGAGCCCCGCGCGGGCTGGCGGGGAGCGGCCCCGCACCCCCACACCGCCTCCCTCCCTCGAGCCGCGCTCACCCGCCGCGCGGTCCCCTCCGCGGCCTGGCGTCGGCCCTTCAGCCACAAGGCCTGCTCCTCCTCTTCTTCCTCCTCCGTCTGCTCGGCCTCGGAGGCGCCGTCGGACTCGCTGCCCGCCCGGCGCGCGCAGCAGGCCGCTACTCAGGAACCCGCGCGGCTGCGGCTGCCGACCGAGCCTGAGGTGAAGGCCGGCCGCAAATCCCTCCGCCGGCGTTCTGCGCACGCGCAGGCTCGCTGCCCCTCCTGGTCACGGCGCGCTGGGATAGCACTGCGCACGCGCGAGCTCCCTTCCCACCCGGCCTCGGCGGGCTGGGCTGGCACTGCGCACGCGCAAGCTCGCCAACCCGCTAGGCAGCGGCGCGCTGGGACGGCACTGCGCACGCGCGAGCTCGCCAACCTGCTAGGCCGCGGCGGGCTGCCCCGGCACTGCGCACGCGCCCCGGAGACTCCAACCGTCTCTGCCCGCGAGACGCAGCCCGAAGCTCCGCCCCTTGTCCGAGCACACTTCCCGGGTCGTTCGCCGCTGCGTGTTGCGTTGTGTGTGTGTGTGTGGCTGTCGCCTTCCGCCGCCTGGCAAAGAGTCCCTATGGGAATGGTGTGGTTGCGATTTGTGTCTTTCCGGAACGCACGCTCGGCTGTGAGATTCCAGAGGCGAGCTAACCCTGCTCCTTCTGACCTTACATCATACTGACAGAGCCAGTAATGGAATTTAAATGGAAAAAAAATGCAATTTCTGAAAGTGGCCATCTTAAATGAAATGAAAATGAGGATAGAGAGGCTGAGATGGCGAAGCTGTTATACAAACGCAGATGGACTCGAAGCAGAGTCAGATGGAAGGGAAATCTGCAGGGGTCACCAGCAGGTGCTCACGCCCTGGACTGGGGCAGAGTGGACAGGCAGTCAGCGGGAAGCTGTGGCCTGGGACTCCTGCCTGACGACCATGCTGGTTTCCTTATAGAAGAGAACCTATGGTATTTGATCTTTTGTGACTGACTCATTTCACTGAGCATAATGATCTCTCGTTAGGACCACCTAGTTGTGAATAATTAAATTCTTTTTTTAAAAAAAAGAATTATTTATTTTTATGTGAAAGTCAGATATACAGAGAGGAAGAGAGACAGAGAGGAAGATCTTCTATCCGATGGTTCACTCCCCAAGTGACCCCAATGGCCAGAGCTGTGCCAATCTGAAGCCAGGAGCCAGGAACTTCCTCTAGGTCTCCCACGCGGGAGCAGGGTACCAAGGCTTTGGGCCGTCCTGGCCTGGTTTCCCAGGCCACAGGGAATTCTTCTTAATAGCTGAATAATATCCCATTGAGTAGATGTATCACAGTTTCTTTAACCACTCATCTCTGGACGCTTTACAGCGTCTTCTTGGAAGGCAGAGCAACAGGAAGTGGGTAGAGAGAGATATTGGTTCATTGGCTGGGCAAGGCTGAATTCTAGAGCCTAGGACTCCATTCATATCTCTTACATAGGTGGCAGGGGACAAGCACTTGGGTTGTCTTCTGCTGCTCTCCCAGACACATCAACAGGGAATTGAATTAGAAGTGGAGCGGCTGGGACTCAAACCTGGCCCTCACACGGGATGCCGGTTCCTCAGACAGTGATATAACCCTGTATACCACTACACCAGATCCTCTCAAAAGATTTTTTGGGCCTGGTGCCATAGCCTAGCAGCTAAGGTCCTTGCCTGGCACGCTCAGGGATCCCATATGGACCCCAGTTCTAATCCCAGCAGCACCACTTCCCATCCAGCTCCCTGTTGCCTGAGAAAGCAGTGGAGGACGGCCCAAAGCCTTGGGACCCTGCACCCTCAAGAGGCTCCAGTTTCCTGGCATTTGCGTGACTGAGCTCCAGTCTTCGTGGTCACTTAGGGAGTGAATCATCAGACAGAAGATCTTCTCTGTCTCTCCTGCTCTCTGTATATCTCACTTTGCAATAACAAAGAACGAATCTTCTGGTCCTCCTCTGCCACCATTGCTTGAATGGTGGAGCCGAGGCTTGGCTTGTGAACTCATACTGACAGCCACAGTGCAAGCGGCGCCGCCATCCCTGCCTCTCCTCGAGGCGGGGTGTCCCGGAGGCGGCCCTGAAGTGACCCATAAACATGTCTTGTGAGAGGAAAGCCTCGTGGGGCTGCGATCCCAGCTCTACCTCCTCACCGCCCAGTTCCTGGAAGATGGACCCTGTCGGCAGGTGGCTCAGGTGCTGGCCGCGAGGTGGCCGAGAAAGAAAGAGCTGCTGCCCCGGCGAACGACTGGACAGGCAAGGAGCAATCGGGACCTTTCAGAAAATGGTGAAATATTACAGACATTCAGCCCCTGGCTACTTGCTACAAGTATGTCATCGACGGGGACCTCTTCTTGAACAAGAAATTCCTCAGTGTTCCTGGAGTGCAGCTGGACGACAGTCCTTGCTACGCACAAATAAGGGCTGCAAGCGTGCTGTGTGGAAAGGATCTGCTCCGGCTGCTTTGCATTGTGGAAGACCACCCAGCATTGAGAAGGAAACCGAAACATAAGATTTCGTAGCCCAGGGTACACGTTTAGCCATCAGGTGCTTGTCGTAAGATGCGTTAGCTGGAAACTGGGTCTGAAGCAGAGCACCCTAACACTAACACAAACTAGAATTTCTGATTTGGGATACGGGCATCCCAAGTGGTAGCTTAACCCGCTGCACCACAGTACTCACACTCATTCCTAAATGCTTAGTATGGAAATTTTTGAAACAAACAAATAAATCTTCCAAAAACAACAAACAAAAATCAGAGAGCTCTTCCATGCACCAACTCCCTGATGCCAGGACTGGTTGGGCCGGAAGCTGGAGTGGGAAGTGAACCATGAACCCAGGCATTCCCTTGGGATGCAGGTGTCCCAGGCAACATTTTATTTATTTATTTATGTTTTTTAAAGATTTATTTATTTATTGGAAAATCAGATATACAGAGACGAGCAGAGACAGAGACCAAGATCTTCAGTCCAATGATTCACTCCCCAAGTGAGCGCAACGGCAGATGCTATGCCTATCCGAAGCCAGGATCCAAGAACTTCTTCCAGGTCTCCCACATGGGTGCAGGGTCCCAAAGCTTTGGGCCATCTTCGACTGCTTTCCCAGGCCACAAGCAGGGAGCTGGATGGGAAGCGGAGGTGCCGGGATTAGAACAGGAGCCCATATGGGATCGTGGTACATACAAGGCAAGGATGTTAGCTGCTAGGCCACGCCACTGGGCCCGAGGCAACATTTTAAGATTTACTCATTTTATTGGAAAGGCCAGCTTTTACGGAGAGAAAGAAAAAAAGATCTTGCTTCCACTGATTCACTCCCCAAATGGCCACACTGGCTGGAACTGAGTTGATCTAAAGCCAGGAGCCAGGAGCTTTTTCTGGGTCTCCTCCCATGTGGGTCCCAAGGCTTTGGGCCATTCTCCACTACTTTCCCAAGCCAGAAGCAGGGAGCTGGATGTGAAGTGGAGAAGCTGGGATACAAACCAGCATCCATGTGGGGATCCCAGCACTTAAAAGGCAAGGCTTAGCCAACTGAGCCATCTTGCTGCATCTCCCTTACCGGCAGGTAGCATTTTAACCCTGTATCAAACAGCTGCCTCTCCTCAAACTCTTTGAAGCATGTTTCTCTGTGAAGTCTGTACCATTTTGTAACTTCTTTTGTACTATTTTGTAACTTTTCTGTAAGTCTGAAAGTATTTGAGGGCCTAGCAGCTAAAAGTCCTTGCTTTGTATGCACTGAGATCCCATATGGATGCCAGTTCTAATCCCGACAGCTCCACTTCCCATCCAGTTCCATCCTGGGAAAGCAATGGAGGACAGCCCAAAGCCTTGGGACCCTGCACCTGCGTTGGAGACCCAGAAGAAGCTCGTGGTTCTGGCTTTGCATCAACTCAGCTCTGGCCGTTGTGGCCACTTGAGGAGTGAATCATTGGATGGAGGATCTTCTTCTCCTCTCTGTATTTCTGCCTTTCCAATAATATAAACAAATCTTTTAAATGCTTTTATTTATTTATAAAATAAATAAATCTTTTAAAAGAAGTATTTGAAAATAGCCAGTTGGAAAAAAATGTTTAAACGATGCTGAGCTTCCCTTCATAACATTTCTCATTCCTCCATTTGTGCATTGAACAACTGGCCAATGAATGGAGCTGCTGGTTTGGGGAGCAGAGCATCGGAGAAGGGCAGGATTGGTGGGGAGGAGGTTAATTTGAGCCCTAGGACTTCTCCAGCTGAGCTGTGTAGACGGGAGCTGAACCTGCATCTGACCTTTCACAGAACCGAGTTGGGGGCTGGAAGCGCATTTTTAGGAATTGCTGACACAGAGGTGGGACGTGAAGTCATGCAGCCAAATGGGGTTACCTAGGAAACGAGAGAAGTTAGGGCAGGGCGGGCATCCTGGCTATGAGTCCCAGGCCCCCAACATCTGGGCCCAGACGGGAGAAGACGGCAAAGGAGAGTGGAGCTGGGAGAGCCAGAGACCCAGGAAGGCAGGGAAGGAAAGCTGTTGAAGGAGGCACGCCCGAACTCCAGCTCCTGAACCCCGCTTCCGGCAAAGGCCCACCCCGGAGGCAGGGAGGGCTTGAAAGGTCGGGTGCCTGCCCCAGGAGATGTGGGTGGAGTTCCCCAACCTTGGCTGTGCTGCATTCAGGGAGTGACCCCATGGATCTGAGATCTGTCCTTCTGGTCTACCTTTACAACTCTTCCATGAAGCGCAGCGCGCGCGCACACACACACACACACACACACACACACACACAATTATTTTGGAAACAAGGAAAGTAGGTGGCCAGGGTTGAGGGACGGTTGGGAATGAGCAGAGAGAAAGCCCCGCGGCCGCACCCAGGTGGTCTGCAGCCTAGGAGCGACCGATGGCGGAATGGGCAGAAGAGTTCTGGAGAGCTTCACCTGAGAAGAACCAGGAAAGGAGAATGGTCAGGAGGTGGCAGGGAGGCTCCGGGAAGACCGGTACCGACATGCAGGCACAGGAGGGCCGCGGGGGTCTGTTAGAGCGAGAAGGGGCAAGGAGATGCCACCCAGGACTCCTGCGCTGTAAGAGGTGCGGGGGTGCCAAGGATGGGGCGCAGCTGAGTGAGAGCCCTGGAGCTGGGACGGAAAATTCTGTCCTATTCCGGACATGGAAACCCAAGATTCCACGCGCAAAAGTGTAGCCCAGGACGGTGGGTGTGTGGGGAAATGGGAATGGAGCGCGGGGCGACCGCCCTTCTGCCCCTCTCCCCACTCCCAGCAGAGGGCGCCCAGGCCCCCTTCCCTGGAGTCCGGGGTGACCAGTCCCCTACACCACCGCCTCCGAAGCCCACGCAATGGCTATTTTTACCCAGTGTTATTGGACACTGGGGGTGGAAGGCCAGCGCCTGTCTGCCCTTGGGCTCCTGTTTGTGACCCCAAAGCGTCTTACCCCCTTCCCGACAGCCCCTCTCCTTCTTGACGCCCCATCTAGACCATGTTGATCTCAGCCCAAGAGAATCCAACTGGAGACCCCGCCCAGGGCCAGACCCCAACCCAGGAAGAGATAGGGCGTCACCCCAACCCCGGTTCAGCGGTCTGCGGCTGCGACCCCTGGGTCCAGGCGAGCGCGTCCACCCAGAGGCACTCACCTGTCAGAGAGTCAAGGCTGCCACACACAACCTTCACCCCTGGGAACCCCTCAGCCAGGCCCCAGCCCAGGTGCCCCACCATGCAGGCAGGGACGGAGGCCCAGCGGAGAGAGGGGAGCGCGCCCTGGACACAATCAGGGTGATTGGCAGTGAGGACTGCTAGAAAGGTGAGCAAGAGGCCTGGAGACCCCCGCACCGCAAAACCAGCCCTGGAAACAGGAGATGCAGAGACAAAGCAGGGCGGCGAGGTGGGGAGCAGGACAGAAACCCGATCCGGAGACCCCCAAAACAACAAAGCAAGGGGACTGAGGGGGGGAGGCAGAGACGCGCGACCCCCCAAAAGCTGGAAAGAGTTGGGGAGAGGGGTGAGCCAGAGACCCCCGAGGGAGGGCAGGGAGCCCGGCCCGGCAGAGGGCGCCCGGGCGCCCGCGGGGTCACCGCATCCCCCTTCCCCCCGCGGCCTGGCCCGAACGCCGGCCGGGCTATTTTTACGCGCGCGCGGACACCGGACACCGGGCTGGAGCGCCGGCGGTGGCGGCGGCGGCGGGCCGGGCGTCGGGGCCACACGTCGGTCGGCGGCTGTCCGGCGCGCCATGGAGCCGCCGTGCGGCTGCTGCGAGCGGGTGGTGCTCAACGTGGCCGGGCTGCGCTTTGAGACGCGGGCGCGCACGCTCGGCCGCTTCCCGGACACGCTGCTGGGGGACCCGGCGCGCCGCAGCCGCTTCTACGACGGCACTCGCGGCGAGTACTTCTTCGACCGGCACCGGCCGAGCTTCGACGCCGTGCTCTACTACTATCAATCGGGCGGGCGGCTGCGGCGGCCGGCGCACGTGCCCCTGGACGTCTTCCTGGAGGAGGTGGCCTTCTACGGGCTGGGCGCGGCGGCGCTGGCGCGTCTGCGCGAGGACGAGGGCTGCCCGGTGCCGCCCGAGCGGCCGCTGCCCCGCCGCGCCTTCGCGCGCCAGCTCTGGCTGCTCTTCGAGTTTCCCGAGAGCTCACAGGCCGCGCGCGTCCTGGCCGTCGTCTCGGTACTCGTCATCCTGGTCTCCATCGTCGTCTTCTGTCTCGAGACGCTGCCCGATTTCCGCGACGAGCGCGACGACCCTGGACTCGCGGCCGTGGCCGCCGCCGCCGCCGCCGGCCCGGTGAGGGGCGGGGTCCGGCGGAGCTGGAGCGGGGCGCCAGGAGAGGCGGGGCGGGGACCAGCCTGGCCAATGGGAAGGAGAGGCAACCCCGGGACAGGCACCTGCGCCACCAATGGCTGCCTGGGGGCGGGACCTGGGGCGAGCATCGGAAGGCGGGGTTCTCACCTGGGGAAGCTGGTGCTAGTAGGCCAGGGGACCCCCTTGGATCAGAGAGCGGAAGGGGTGCAGCTGGGGAAGGCTGTGCACCCCAAGGTCTGTGGCCCTCCCCGCAGAGGGGTCTGCACCGAGACCTGAAGACTGGCAGACTGAGAGAACTGGGGGCTGTGCGGAAGGGAACCAGTCCCCTAAAAAGTTAGGCTGTTAGGGGTAGGAGGGGACATTAAGGGGGCCCAACTTGGGGAGGGTGAGGAAAGGCAGGCCACACAGGGACCCGCCCCCTCCAGGCTGGGCCTGGGGCTTCCGGAGGGACCCTCCCCAAGCGTCACTTTCTGGGGTCCCCAGCAGGGAAGGACGGGAGTGTCCTCGCAGCCTGGTCCCCCAGGCCTGGGGTCCAGTGACCGGGTGTGCAGAGGTGGCTGGAGTCTGGAGCCGCACTTGGGGTCGCACCAGCTCTCCCAACCGCCTTTGCCCTCCTGTCTTCCTGCAGCTCTCCGCTCGGCTCAACGGCACTAGCGCTGGGCCTGCCCCTGCACCCCGCCTGCCCTTCCAAGACCCCTTCTTCTTGGTGGAGACGCTGTGCATCTGCTGGTTCTCTTTCGAGTTGCTCGTTCGCCTGTTGGCTTGCCCCAGCAAGGCCGTCTTCTTCAAGAACGTCATGAACCTCATCGATTTTGTGGCCATCCTGCCCTACTTCGTGGCCCTGGGAACCGAGCTGGCCCGGCAGCGGGGAGTGGGCCAGCCGGCCATGTCCCTGGCCATCTTGCGGGTCATCCGGCTGGTGCGTGTCTTTCGTATCTTCAAGCTGTCCCGCCACTCCAAGGGCCTGCAGATCCTGGGGCAGACGCTGCGGGCCTCCATGCGTGAGCTGGGCCTCCTCATCTTCTTCCTGTTCATCGGCGTGGTCCTTTTCTCCAGCGCCGTCTACTTCGCTGAAGCTGACCGGGTGGACACCCACTTCACCAGCATCCCCGAGTCCTTCTGGTGGGCAGTGGTCACCATGACCACGGTTGGCTATGGAGATATGGTGCCCGTCACTGTGGGGGGCAAGATAGTGGGCTCTCTGTGTGCCATTGCCGGGGTCCTCACCATCTCTCTGCCCGTGCCCGTCATCGTCTCCAACTTCAGCTACTTTTACCACCGGGAGACGGAGGGCGAAGAGGCGGGCATGTACAGCCACGTGGATACGCAGCCCTGTGGCGCGCTGGAGGGCAAGGCCAACGGGGGGCTGATGGATGGGGAGATGCCTGAACTGCCCCCGCCACTCTGGGTGCCCCCGGGCAAACACCTGGTCACCGAAGTGTGAGGACAGTGGAGGCGTGAAGGACCTCGCACGTGTTTGGAGGGACGGAAGGAAGAAAGGAGGGAAAGAGGGAGGGAGGGAGGGGTGCAGGGCAAGGCCAGAGGAATGGGGGGCTGGATTTAGGAAGAACTAGGCTAGGTTGGTCATCACTGGGGAAACCCTGAGCCTTCTGGCGGGACCATGGACCCCTAGTGTCCAGGGACAGCTATGAGCAGGGGGCTTCGCTGGTTCAGCTTGCGTTGAGGTGTGCCATACCCTGTGCAGTCTTCAGGACAAGTGTGTGGAGATAGTTTTGGTCCTGCCATTGTGTGTGTTTCCTGAGTCCATGCAGGGAAGGGCCAGGTGGTGAGGCAGGCTGAGTCTTGTCTAAGCAGCATTGGACAGGACGCCGTGATTTTGTGAATCACCTGGGGCCAGGTGAGGACGAGGCGGTCACCCAGGGCGTTGCTGAGAGCGACTGTGTAGTCACGCGTTGCGTGGTGGCCGAGTCTCCTGGAGATGTGTTGGAAGCGTGTGGGTGGCTCTGCAGGCCGTGTCCGTTCATGTCCTGGGTGCTTGGAAGCCATGTACAACAATCAGCTGACGGCATGTGAGCTGTGCAGGTCACGATGGGTTCAGCTGAGCTGGCAGACGTGGGCAGCCAGGGCGTTCAGGCTTCTGTTGGCTTGAGCTGTGTAGATGCGCAGCTGGCAGCTCCCGTGGGGGCTGCCCTGGGCGGAGCTGGGTGGACTGTGTCTCCCGCCCCTTCAGTCGGGCTGTCGGGCGGAGGCCCCTAGCGCTTGGGTTCTGCCACGGTGTGCAGTCCCAGGGGACTGTATGGATGAATCTGTAAGTTTCGGTGGGGCCACACTGGCAGCTTTGTAGGTACCACCAGGGCCTCTGGGAGAAAAGCCTGTTTGGGGAGAAATCGGGCAGCGAGGTGGGGTACCCTGCTGCAGTGGGGGTGCATGCTGTACCTAGGGGTTCAGCAGTTCTGCCAGGGTGGGGCCTGCCTGGGGGAACTCCGGAGGTGGAGACACTGCACCTGCTGCGTGTGGAGTCAACCCCCACTGCGTCGGCCTCTTCTCGGACATGACTGTCTACCGCGAGGGAAGGGGAGAGAGGGGAGAAGACTGTCCTCTGCCTAGCTGTTGGTGGGGCAGGGGGACAGAAACCAAAGGAGAAGGGCAGAGAGACAGAGGGAGGGAACAGAGAGATGAGAGAGAGAGAGAGAGAAAGAGAGAGAGAGAAAGCAGGGGCCCAGGAGCAGGAGAAGGAAAATCAAGCAGGGCAGTATGGGATGGTGACTTAGGAGGGGATCCGACATGCAGAAGTGGAGACAGCAGAGCGCCCACCCCAGAGGGAAGTGGCTGGCCGGAGCTTGACAGACACGCACTGTCGCGCACAGTCATTCGGAGATTCGAAGTCAGGGCATGCCTTGTGCTGTCCCCTCTGCTCAGGTCCACTGGGGTTTGCTGTCCTCGGTGGAGGGTGATGGGGGAGCGCAGCACGCCCTCCAGGAACCGGGCTTGTGACTGCCCAATGTCACACGTCCCCATCAGCCTGCCGGGACAACATGAGGCTCCTGAGGCAGGCAGCCACACGGTCCACACACAATGGGACACAGGCACAGGCCAGCAGGAACCTTGTCACCCCCAAACCACAAAGCATCTCAGAGGGGTCTGTCAGCCAGAAGAACGTCAGGGTGGGGGTGAGGGCGGTGTGGCACCTCATCCCAGATGAGGATGCCCAGACGAGTCCTGCCTCTGCCTCTGCTCCCGATCCAGCTTCCTGCTAATGTACCTGCCAGGCAGGGCAGCATCCGACAGCTCAGGGACCGAGCCCCTGCTCATGCGGACATTCCAGATGGGAGCGCCTGCCCGGCCCCAGCCGTGGTGGACATTTGGGAAGGGAACCAGGGAATGTGAGACGCCCCCCTCCTCACCCTCTCCCACTGTGTCACTCATCCTACTTTCAAATTAATTTAAACAATCAGAAACAAAGGTGGGGGAGGCATTTAAGGGAGGAAGAGGGGGCCGATCACAACGGTTATCTCAGACAGGGCTTCCTAGGTGCCAGGCATCCTTCAAAGTGCTTACTGGAATTAATTTATTAAAACCTATCCAGTGGTTGACAAGGTGTGGTGGTTATTTTTAGCTACAATCTCCCCCCTTTTTCTTAGCTAATACAATGTTCTATTGAGGCTGCCCTTCCCTCTTGGCCACTCAAGAGGCATCCAAGGAAACAGTCTGGGAACCCCGGATTTCATCCAGTCCCCTTCAGAGACGAGAGAAAAAGGACTGGCTGTGGTACAAGGGGGACAGTGGGAACCTTCAGGTGGTGGAGAGCAAGCCACGTTCAGGGGCAGAAAGGGGGACAGACCCGCATTCCCTCCCATGGACAGGACCCCATTCCCCCATGGACAGGGCCCCCATTCCCCCACGGACAGGGTTCCCATTCCCCCCCATGGACAGGACCCTTGTTCCCCCCCACGGACAGGGTCCCCGTTCCCCCATGCACAGGACCCCCATTCTCCCACAGACAGGACCCCCATTCCCCCATGGACAGGGCCCCCATTCCCCCACGGACAGGACCCCTGTTTCCCCATGGACAGGACCCCTGTTCCCCCCCACGGACAGGGTCCCCGTTCCCCCATGCACAGGACCCCCATTCCCCTGTGACCAGGACACATGGCTGAGTCTCTGGGCACGGACCTCAGCCAGGACCCAAGGAGCAGTGAGAAGACTGAGGCTTGGAGGGAGGCAGGGTTTCAGGAATCCTGGGGGGTTCCAGGCAAAAGTCAAACTAGAGGGGGAAAAGGGAGGAGGGGGCCAAGGAAGAGAAGGTAGAAACAGACCCGGGGGGAGGTCAGAGACCCAGAAACGGGGGGTGGGGCACAGAGACCCAGAGAGAGAGAGAGAGAGAGAGAGAGAGAGAGAGAGAGGACAGTGACCCAGAGGGAGAGAGGGGACAGTGACCCAGAGGGAGAGAGGGGAAAGTGACCCAGAGGAGGGGGGGGAACAGAGACCCAGAGAGAAGGAAGAGAGACCCAGAGGGAGAGAGGGGACAGAGACCCAGAGGTGTGTGCCACAAAGACTGTTTCTTAGTTCCTCTCATTGAAAAACTCCACCCCTGAACCCCAGGAAAAACTGTGTGCCCGGCTGAGGGCAGAGGCTTGCGGGGAGGGTGGGAAGTGTGGCGTCGTGGAGGGGTGACCTGAATAGCCATCCAGGGCTGGGAGTGGTTTTTTCCCACCTCTGATAAACAACCTGCCCTGCCTGCCCGTAGCCTGGGCTGGCAGGAGGAGCAGGGCACATCCTAAGCCGGGGCCACCCTCCTGTCACCCTGTATGCTATATTTAGGTTGAAGGAGGGGTTCGGGGGATGACCCCCAAGGGGGGTGTCACCTTTCCTGCTGAAAATAGCTCGGGATAGAGGAGCAGGAGTCCCTGGGTGGAGGTGTGGGGGAGGGGAGCACCCCAAGCTCAGTCTCCTTTCTTAGGGTTCGCTCTGTGGGGGAGCCCTCTCCCTGTTCCTCCTGCTGCCTCCCCATTTCCTCTCCCACCCTACACCCATCCTCTCTCCACCCTGAGCAAGGTCTTTGAACCCCACAGCGCCCTGCATTCCACCCATTTGAGCTGTGGACAAGACCCTCTCTCCAGTTCCCACCCAGGAAATTCCAGGAAGGAGGACTTTCGGGGGGAAGCCCCCTGCTTCAGTCCACTGTCTCCCCAGCATGAAGCCTTATCGCTGCCTGAGCCCAGCTGGTTAATGTCTGGCGGGGGAGCCCTGGGAAAGTGGGGCTGAGAGCAGAGGGTGGGAAACTGCCCCCGGAACGACACGGAACTGGCAACAGACAGCGGATGAGTCTCAGGCTAGATCCTGGAGTTAAGGGAGGAGGGGCTGGACCCCTGGGGTGAGGGAGGAGGGGCTGGACCCCTGGGGTGAGGGAGGAGGGGCTGGGTTGGACCCCTGGGTGTGAGGGAGGAGGGGCTGGACCCCTGGGTGTGAGGGAGAAGGGGCTGGACCCCTGGGTGTGAGGGAGGAGGGGCTGGACCCCTGGGTGTGAGGGAGGAGGGTCTGGACGCCTGGGTGTGAGGGAGGAGGGGCTGGGATGGACCCCTGGGTGTGAGGAGGAGGGGCTGGACCCCTGGGTGTGAGGGAGGAGGGGTTGGGTTGGACCCCTGGGTGTGAGGGAGAAGGGGCTGGACCCCTGGGTGTGAGGGAGGAGGGGTTGGGTTGGACTCCTGGTCTGAGGGAGGAGGGTCTGGACGCCTGGGTGTGAGGGAGGAGGGGCTGGGATGGACCCCTGGGTGTGAGGAGGAGGGGCTGGACCCCTGGGTGTGAGGGAGGAGGGTCTGGGCTGGACCCCTGGGTGTGAGGGAGGAGGGGCTGGGGGCTGGACTTTGGATTTGAGGGAGGAGGAGGGGCCGGGACTCGCGGGACTGCGGCGGCCGGGCTGAGCGAGCCGGCCCGGGCATCCGAGGTCCCAGGCCGCGTGTGCAAGGCGGGATCCCCGGCCCCTCCTCCGCCGTCGGGCGCCGCCCCGCCCCCGGCCGGGCCCCGCCGAGCGCCAGCAACCGGCGGCCGGGCCAGCGCGCGTCCCAGCAGCCGAGCGGGCGGGAGGAGGAGCTGCCGCCGCGCCGGGGGCAGCCGGGGGAGCCGGAGAGGGCGCCCCAGGTAAGATCTCGGCACCTCCTCCCGGGGCTCCTGGCGACCCGGGCGCCCTGCCCTCGGGTAGGGAGGGGCGGAGGCGGAGCCGCCGGGGGCGGAGCTTGGCTGAGGAAACTGAGGCAGGGGGAGACGCAACCCCTGCTGTGCAGGCCCGGTCTCCCCCAGTGTCTGAGTGTGTGCGTGGGGGGGGGGTGGTCGGGAGTGTCGGGAACCGGGGCCCTCCCCCAGTGCAGTGCTGGATATGAAACTTGGGCGTCTGCTTTGCGGAATCCCGGGGAGGAAAGGCCTGAACACCAAAACTGGGGGTTCTGAAGGAGCACGGGACGGGAGGGCTGCGCTGGGGGCTTCAGGGAGAAGGTGCTGCTGGGGGTGGGGAGACCCTGAGATTTTCGGGTGTCAGGCAGGACCGGACTGAGGGTCTTAAGGAGGAGGTGGGCGCCTTGGACCTGGACCCCCAGCCTGACGGAGGAGGCCGTGTGTCCGAGGTGGGGGGTGGATACGGACCTGTGCTCCCCCACCTCCTGGCCCGGGGCAGGCAGCCACTCCAGGTATGTGCCGACGGAGTCTCAGGCGCGCCCCGGCCTGCCCTGCTGGGAGAAAGCATTCCAGGAAGTCTCGGGGACCCAGGTGTCCCCGCCAGCCCCGCCTGCTGCGCCCTGTCTGGGAGATGAATGGGCCAGGGGAGTGTAATCTTCTCCAGCCTCCTCCATCTGCCGCCTCTCCCCTCCCTCCCCTCCCCTGCCCCCATCTGCCTCCCATCCTCAGCCAGGAACCATCACCTGGGCAGTGCAGGGCAGGGGTGATCCCGGGAGGGAGGGGTTCAGAACCACCGCCAGCTGCCTCTCTAACCTGCCTGCCTCCCCCTCTCCCCCCAACCAGGGGCTGCCCCCTCCCTCTCCTGAGATGTCGAGAAGGAGGGGGCCAGCTGTGTCCTCCATAGGGGCCCCCCGCAGCCTGGGGGCCCCCAGCCTGGGCGCACGGAGGTGGAGGAGGTGCTGACAGGTCCGGTAACCAACCCGCTTGGCCCCGCCCCTTCCCAGAGCCCTGGCTTCTTCTAGAATGTGATAGAACTGAACCGGGTCTCTCCAGGCCCCTGTCAGAACAGTGAGCTGCCCTCCCTACAGAGGCCCGCGTGGAGAGGCCCAGATGGGTGGGTCAGGTCCCCTCCCTGCCGCTGGCTGGCTGTGCGACTGGTGCCGCACTCTGAGCCCATCTGTTTGCAGGGAAGTTAAAGTTAGTTGGAGAATGAACCTAGAAGTTGGGCACACCCTGATCCCCTGAGGGTCTAGAGGAAGTCTCCCCATGGTCCTGGCAGGACCCTAGGGTGTTGCCTGCCTCTTCTAATCCCAACCCCCTCGCTCTGTCCTCAGGTGCTCCGAGAGATGCGCCCCCACCACTCAGGCTCCCTCCCCATCCTCCTCCTCTTCCTCCTCCCCACGGTCCCAATGAAGCCCCAGCCCCCACCCTTGGCGCTGCCCCCATTCTTGGCTCCGGAGTGGGATCTGCTGTCCCCGCGTGTCGCCTTGTCCAGGGGTACTCCCTCAGGCCCCCCTCTGCTCTTCCTGCTGGAGGCGGGGGCCTTTGGAGAGCCCGCCGGTGCCCCGGCCAACCGCAGCCGGCGCGGGGTGAGCGAGACGGCGCCGGCGAGTCGCCGGGGAGAGCTGGCCGTGTGTGACGCCGTCAGCGGCTGGGTGACGGACCGCCGGACGGCAGTGGACCTGCGAGGGCGCGAGGTGGAAGTGCTGGGCGAGGTGCCTGCGGCCGGGGGCAGCCCGCTCCGCCAGTACTTCTTCGAGACACGCTGCAAAGCTGACGGCGCCGCCGTTGCCGGGGAAGGCGTCCCTGGGGCCGGTGGCGGGGGATGCCGGGGGGTGGACCGGAGGCACTGGGTGTCCGAGTGCAAAGCCAAGCAGTCGTACGTGCGGGCGCTGACCGCTGACGCGCAGGGCCGCGTCGGCTGGCGATGGATCCGAATCGACACCGCCTGTGTCTGCACGCTGCTCAGCCGGACTGGCCGGGCCTGAGGGGAGGAGGCGGCTCCCCGCTCCCCCCCAGTCCTGGGGGAACACTCCTTAAGCCACGAACCTCAGGGCTGGCCTGGGCTGCTCTAAGGGACCTCTCCTTGGGAAAGGCGCTGTATGGACTGCAATTTGGCAGCGGCGGTTTGGTTTCCAATGCCCCACTGGGTGCAGGGATGAGATATTAAACCACAGGGGGCTTCAAGGAGGAATTAGAGTGTTCTTGGGGAAACTCTGGAGTCACTCTGACGCTAACAAGGAAAATAACCCCCGTTTACCGTGTGTCACTGTTTCTTGGCCTCAACGTGCCAGCTCTTGGATCTATGCTTGTGGATTCCACACCTGGAGGACCCTGTGGATGCAAAGCAAGTCAGCTAGTCCCTGAGGCCACCTTGGGAAGCGGGACAAAGAAGGGTCTTGTCAAAAGGGCCAGGAGGGTAGGACTCGGTGGGGGGAGAGCCGGGACACACAGACACTCAGGTGCTTAGGAGTCCCAGAGAAATTGTATTTGGTCAGAGGGGGCGGAGGTGTGGCCTGGAGCAGTCTGTTTTGGGGTTCTGAGCCTCCCATCAGAGAACAGCCTGGATGGTAAGGTCAGGTGTCTGGGGAGGTCACTCCAGGAAAAGTACCACTACATACTCAATGCGCACGGGTTCTCGCCAGGCTGCCTGCCCACCTGGCTGGGATTAGGGGTGAGCAGAGAGACACAGGCTTTGAGGAAGAGAATCCAGACAGAAGGAGCCAAAAGCCTGGACGTGTTTAGGGAAGGGCGAGGCAACAGCGGATGGGACGCTGGGCCGGGCTTCAGGCGGCAGCTTGCTGTCCCTGTCTGAGCAGAGGCTGCCAGGCGTGGAGACCATTCCTTCTAGCAGGGAAGTGGGGAGGGACGTCAGGGGCAGCCTGCAATGACCCTATCATCTCAGGTTGGCTGAAAATATGTGGGTATGTGCACACACACACACACCCTTCCCCCACACACAGGCAGGGCAGCCATGGCTCTGGCGCCCACTCTTTCAGGTCCCCGCCCCTCCCTGTCTCCGGCTCTGACTTAGGCGCTCGCTGTCCTAACGATGTCTTTCTTTTGGGGGGTGGGTGGGCGTGTAGTATTTTCTTTGTATGGAAATGTCTGCAGGTTTCTGCCTCTTTGTCCACACCAGCCCCTTAACACACCCAGGTGGAAGCTGTCAACCAAATCCAAGGCAGGCCAGCGGCGGGTGGTTGGCTGCTGGCTCCTTCAGCACATGGAGGGGCGGGGGGGGGAGGGGGAGAGCCCCCAGGCCGTCTGGAAATGGTTACTCCAGAGTGGGCAGGTCTGGCAGGGGCCTGCGCGCACCAGGGGAGCTGCACCTAGAGGAACTGGTTGATACTCTCTGTGGAGCTCCAGGGGTTCTCCCCTCCCTCCAGGTCGGCTCCTTCTTTCCCCACCATCCAGGTCTCTCCTAGTCTCCCCGACCTGCTGTCCCCTCTGCACCTGGAAGCCCCCAACTCTGAAATTCTATTTCTTCGTCCCCTCCCGACGGCATTTCTGTTCCGTTCCCAGCCCAGCCCTGTTTCTGCGACCACGAGCTCTCCCTTGTCTCTCGTCCCTCCTCTTGCCTGTAGGCCCATCATTGGCTGAGGGTCAGGGTGGGCGGGTTCTGTCACCTGGGGCAACAACCACAACAAACCGCCTCCTGCTAGGCTACTGGGTGGGGGCGGGCCATGGCTGGCCGGACCTTAGCCCTGCGATATGGCCCACCATGGTCCCCCGTCTCTAGAACTGAGGTGCCTGGATCCTGGCCCAACTGGCATCTCACCAGCAGCGGTGTCGGGCACCACCTGATCCCTTCCCCGCCCTTCCCCCCGCCCACTGTGCAGGTGAGCCTGGCAGAGAGGAGGGGCTGGGGGCTTCGACTGACTCCTGCCCAAAGGCAGGGGAGCACTGGGGGTTTGCGAGAGGAGCGGGAAACCCGGGTGCCAGGGAGCGGTGGGGCGGGGGAGGGGTCGTGAACCGACTGGAACCCCAGACCTGCAGCGGGACGCCCAGCGCCTTGTCCGCAGTCCACAGTCGCGGAGCCCCTGCCCCCGGCCGCCAAGCTGGACTGCTACCTAGGGGATTTCGACGAGGTCTTCAACAGGTGGGAAACAACCACCGGCTCGGCTCACGTGCCCAAGACGTACGGTGGGCCCTTGGCGCAGCCCAGGGCCACAGAGCCCGCGGACCCCACGCGGACGGTGGGGATCAAGGATTTGGGTGAAAAGGCAAGGTTCGGGGCTGCCTGAATCCAAGGGTTCTGCCCCTCCCCCTTGGCGCCCCCTGTGCGCTCACATCGAGTCCCCGCGTCCTCGCCTTCTGCAGTTCAGATCCTGCGGCTGGCGCCTGGCGCGCAACGCCGAGCCGCAGAGCGAGACGAAAGCGCAGTACTTCGGCTGGCCCAGCCTGGCACCGCGCGCACCCTCGCCCCAGGCGCCCCAGCCCCCGGAGCTCAGTGACCACCACCGCGGGAGCCCGTCCCAGGTAGCAGAACGGCAGGCGGTGCAGTGGGCGGGCTGCGAGGTTCCACATTGAGGGGGAACAGACTCGCGCCCCAGAGGCGGGGCCAGAGGGAACGTGCAGCTTGGGGAGTGGCTAAAAGGTCTTGTGGCGCGGGGACCAGAGGGGGGTGCCACGGGGAAACAGGCTTCTGGGCCCAAAGGCGGCCTGTAGGGGGTAGGGGGTGTGCCCTAATGTGGTATCGATCAGGGTAGATCCCGATCCCCAGAGCTAGAGAGAATTTGGATGAGGGATTCTGAGCCGGGGACGCAAGGCTTGGGGCGGGGTTAAGACCTCCCTTGGCCCATCGCCCTGCTCCTCAATATTCCTCAGGCCCTCAACCCCTGGACGAGGAACGCAGAGCTGGCCGGCCGGCCCTTCACAGTGTCGGACCAGGGTGTTCTGAATGGACAACAGCTCTATCTGACCACTACAGCGCAGGACTTCCGCTGCTACACCAAGTGAGCCTGTGACCCTGGCCAAGGCCAATGGCCCTGATTGCTCGGCTTTCAGGTCCTGTACACGCAAGAACCGCACTGTCCCACCCTGGTCACCATTGCCTCCTTTAGCCTCCAGGGATCCTAGGTGGCCACTGGGAATCTGTTTCAGAACCCCCCTCTCCCCCATGCTCCAGCTTTCAATCCTTTCCTAAGCAGCTTTTGGCTCCTCCGAACGCATCCTGCAGGGGTTGGGGCTGCAGTGGCCCTAGGATCTGAGGTCTGGATCCAGCGGTGTCCTCACCATGTCGCCTCCCGCCCGCAGGAAGGAGCTCTCCGAATACCCTAGCAGGGACTTGCAGACCTACTGGAGCTCCGAGCAAGCACCCCGGGTCTGGGGCCATTGCCCCCCGCGGCCTCCCTGCCTGTACTCCCTCCAGGCGCCACGGATCCGTGTGCCCCGCACTCGCCCTGTGCCACAGGCTGTGCCGCACCTCGGGGCCCTGTCGCTGGCCCAGGAATCCTATGGACCCCCGCTGCACCCGCTTCGCAGGCTGGACCGTTTCTGCCCGTTTGAGGCACCCTGGGGTGGCCCCCACTGGCAGCCCCTGCCAGGCATTTACAGCACCCCGAAAGCCTACAGCACCGAAAGCTCTCGCTATGGCAGCGGGAAGCCGGAGCTACTGTGAGAGGACCTGCCGAGGCCGCCCTGCCTGGCACCCTCACGGCAGGGCGGGACTGGGCTCTGGACCTCCACCCCCTCGCGAGCCACAGCCAATGGGACATTCCCAGAGCCGGCCCTGGACACGCCCCTGCGGGAGCGGGGCCTGAGCTGTCCCTAATTCCTAGTACAAGATCATAAACCGCACCCTCCTGGGGGTCTAGCTTGGAGCACAGGATCCTAGGGTATAGCTGGAAACACGCCGACTGGGGCATCACAGGCGAGCGTCCCCAGTGCAGGGATCGGAGGCTCTCCAGGACTGGGAGGCATCTGGGGTGGAAGCTGCACTCTGCAGCGAGATTGGCTTGCAGCCAGTCTCAGGTACAAAGGTTCAGCCCGGAGACCAGCCCCAGTGAGAGATCAACTGAAGAAGGGCAGGGCGGAGGTGGGACTTCCCTCACCTGCCTCCCAAGCCTTCAGCAGCCAAAGGTGAGGGGGTAGGATGCTCACCTGGCTCAACAGCCAGCTCCTCCACCCCCATGACCTTGTCCGCTTCTCGCCCCCAGAGGGATTTGTGTCCAGGTTACCCCAGCAAGCTGCCCCCAGCAGGTGGCCTTGCCGCCCCCATGGCCCATGGCTATAAAGGCAGGTGGATGAGGTAGGGGCAGGCAGCACAGAGGATGGAGCTGCTCCAGGTAAGACTGTAGGGCCCCTGGGTACCTTCAACCCCATCCAGGCACCAAGTGGCATTCAGTGGGACCTGGCAGAGACCACTCTAGAGTGGGTGGGGATCACTCGGCCCCCTTGGGCAGGTGGATGAACGGTGGGTCATCCCGTCCTGAATGGGAGATGTTAGGACCCTTGCACCCCCATAGTCCATGGAGCAGAGGGTAAGCACTCAGGGTGAGGGTCTCAGGCTGGCCTTGTCCCAGGGGCTGCTGCTGTGGCTCCTGCTGGGCATGGGCGGGGTGTGGGCATCCAGGGGCCCACTCCGCCCACTGTGCCGGCCCGTCAACGCCACCCTGGCTGCGGAGAAAGAGGCTTGTCCGGTCTGCATCACCGTCACCACCAGCATCTGTGCTGGCTACTGTCCTAGCATGGTGAGCCGCCAGGGCCGAACCCAGAGGAGGGTGGTCAGGGGGCTTGCCGTCAGTGGGGGCATGTGGGCAGGAAGGGACAAGGGGGGGCCGTGGGACAGGTCTGTGAGGCTCAACCCCAGGTAGATACCTGCTCCTCCCCCTCTGCCCTCCCTGGCTCCTGGCCTGCAGGTGCGGGTGCTGCCTGCTGCCTTGCCGCCCGTCCCTCAGCCTGTGTGCACCTACCGTGAGCTGCACTTTGCCTCCATCCGCCTCCCCGGCTGTCCACCTGGCGTGGACCCCATGGTGTCCTTCCCTGTGGCCCTCAGCTGTCACTGTGGGCCCTGCCGCCTCAGCAGCTCCGACTGCGGGGGTCCGCGGGCGCACCCCTTGACCTGTGAGCTCCCCCACCTCCCAGGCCTCTTCTTCCTCTGAGGACTCTCTACTCCTGCCTCCTGGCCCCACCCCTCCCCCAATAAAGCTTCTCCGTTTGCACTCTGGGGTGTGTCTGTGGGTTCAGTGGCTGTGCGCACACACAGGGTCCAGTTTCAAAATCATTTTATACAAAGTCACAGTGCATTAACTCTGGTAGAAACGGGCTGGGGTGCGGGGTAGGAAGGAGGGGTGACGTCGGCTCAGGAGGTGTCCATGGTCTCGCCTTCTGCGGGGAGAAAGCAAGCAGGCTGTGCAGTCAGCAGGGGGCCTGGAAGGCAGGGCTGAGCTTGCCCAGGCCAGGCCTCCCACACTGTCCCCACACCGGCAGTAATGGCCTTGCAGCCAGTGGACGGCCGAGGGCAATGGGGGACACTCACTGAGCTCGTTGAAGAGGAAGGCGTCCTGGTACTCCTTCATGTACTGCGTGGAGCGCGACTCGTCCAGGAAGAGCGAGTACACGCGCTTGATGTCGTCCACCTGCACCTCCGTGCCCTGCGGGGGAGGGAAGGGCGAGTCCTCAGCGGCCCACAGAGGCCTGAACACCCCCGCGCCCAGGCGCCAGGCTCCTCCGGCATTCTACCCCTCCTGTGACCCGCTCCGGGCTGGGCTCAACCTCCCAGCCACTCAGTTTCTCCATCTGGGAGAGCTCAGTTCAGCCATACGTGTGGTTGGCCACTGCCAGGACCGACGGCTGCCAGCCGGGATGCTAACCTTGCGTTTCCGGCACACCAGGCTGGCGGCCGTGATGAGCTGGATGGCGTAGCGCAGCGAGGTCTCCAGGCCAATGCGGGTCAGCACTGTGTAGGCGTCTTCACTCATCTCCACATCCTCCTCCTCACACCTGGCAGGGCAGGGCAGGGCAGGGCAGGGCAGGGGTGAGCGGGCTCAGCCAGGGCAGGGCAGGGCAGGGCAGGGCAGGGCAAGGCAGGGGTGAGCGGGCTCAGCCAGGGCAGGGCAGGGCAGGAGTGAGCGGGCTCAGCCAGGGCCCAGGTCTTTGGGACAGACATTAGGGTACAGGTGAGGGTGAGTAGGTTTAGCCAGGGCCCAGGCCCTAGGGAGTGGAGGGGATGGGGTGTGTGTGTCTGGGATCCCTAGAGGCACAGACCAAACTTGTGTCCAACTTCGGCATCACCACTTGACCTCCCTCTCCCCCACTGCCTGGAGGCTCCTCCCGCCCCTTTCCTGACAAGCACAGATATGGGGTGCCCCCGCCAGGGTGTTGCCACCAGGCATGGTTGAACGGGGAAGTCGGCAGCCCCAAGCCCGCACCGGATGCGGAGGATCTGCTTCGTGTCCTTCTCGCTGTAGGGAGACGTGGAGACGATGAGCAGCCGGTCCAGCAGGTCGATGGGAATGCCATGGGGGCTCTGGTAGCTGGTGCCACGGATCCTGGGGTGCAGGGACAGGCGGGCTCTCACTCGGTCCCCTCAGACCCTCACACCCCTACCCACCCCGTCTATCACAACCCACTCCCTGGGCCAGGCAGCACTTGACCTTCAGCCCCACCTGTGTCAATGCCGCCTCCAGAGCCGCTGTCTGCAGCCAGGATTACGGCGCCAAGGTCCCACGTCCCCGCTCCACTCAAATCTCCCCTGTGGGATGGACCTGGGCCAGGCTTGCTCCCAGCTGCCACAGCCCAGTGCCACCACTATGCTCTGACATGACTGCAGACACTCAAACAGCCAGGCCTCGGCCCTGGGGGAATTCCTCCAGGGAGAACGCAGGATCAGATCCTGCCCATGTCCAACCATGAGGCCATGTCAGCGGATCCACAGGAAACCTTGGTGTGTGTATGTGAGTGTGTGCACTGTGCCGGTCACACCATGCCCACAGCCAGCAGCACTGTCTCTCTAGGGTGTCAGTCACTGTGAGTTTAGGAACATGGATAGTATTCAGTGATAAAGAGCCTGGGTCCACCTCAGATTTTGAAATAGCACACAAACACACACAACCTTGGCTGGGCAGGTGGGTGCTGTATAACCGATTGTGCCACTGGAGCTCCATGGGCAGGTGGGTGCTAACGATGGGGACCTGGGCTACCCTGAGTGTGCACCTGGAAGCTGCACCCCCATTCCAGCAGGCCGGCTGACTTCCAAGCATGGACCAGCACCAACAGCATGGACTGCTCCTTGCAGGGGCCCCCCATGGTTCCTGTACCACGATCTACAGCTGCTGCGGCTGGAACTGGGACTCTAATTCAGATCGCCAATTGGAAATCAAACTGGAACCTTGCTACCTCAATGGAGGCACCAGCACACATGGGGCAGGGACGATGGCCAGTTCCCTCCTGAGCTGCCTGGCAGGACCCCAGGAACAGACTGAACAAAGAGGCGGGCACAACTGCCACTGCCCCACATGGCCAGGCCTGGTACCGTCACCCAGGCCCAGGCCAGTGGGGGCTCCCTGCCCCGCCCTCCTCTGCGTACGCTCTCGCTACTGGCTACAGTGTGCGTGAGGGCCACCTGTTTCCGAGATGTGGTGAATCATGTCACCGCTCGGAAAGTTGCACAGGCCGGGCCCTCAGGAATGAGTGGCTAATGCAGCTGAAGCCTCGGCATGCGGACGGGGTGCACTGCCTGCGCCCCAGTGCTAGCAGCCCACCTCCCACGGTGACCCCAGTGACCCAGGGGCTTCCGCACCGCCAGCTTACCGCGTGATCCCACGGTTGGTGGCCATGATGAGGACGGGCGCCATGTCACTCTCCAGGGCCCGGTTCAGAAAGGAGAAGCTCTCAATGTCCAGCATGTGGACCTCATCGATGAACAGCACCTGGGGCCAGGGGCTCATGTCACTGCCAGCTGCCACCCCATAGCCCCTGCCCCGCTGGCACCTGCCCTGCGCTCACCCCGGGGATGATCTCCGCCTTGCCCTCCTCGCGCCACTCGGCCACTTTGGCATTGATCTGCTCGCGGACCTCTGACTTGATCTCCCCCGTGTCACCTGCAGCACAAGCCGAGGTGGCATCAGGCAGATGTATCCGGAACAAGGTGGGTGGGCACAGAGGGTGGAAAGCAGTGCCACAGGAAACAGGGTGCCCAGAGGAGAAGGGCAAGGGAGCAGGACCACACCCCCACCCCATGGGGAGGACAGGAGGCAGGTGGCGGGGCTGAGGCAGGCCAGGGCAGCGGGCGGGAGGCAGTGGCGGGGCTGTGGCAAGCCAGGGCAGTAGTTGGCAGCCGCCTGGTGAGATCCCCACCTGAGAAGAGAGCCAGGAAGCCCTGGGTGCGGGAGTTGATGACGTCGATCTCGTGCAGGGACACAGTGTGCACCACCTCCTTGCGCTTCTGCAGCTCCCCATCTGGGCACTGCACGAACTTGGTCTAGGGGCCAGGAAGCAGGGAAGGAGGGCATGAAGGCAGGATGCCAAGGGTTCGTCTGGCCAGAGAGGGGTCACTCGGAAACCCCAGGCCCGAGGTGAGGGGCATTCAAGAGCATGTGGGGTGGAGTGGCTTGTCCCTCTTGTCTTAGGACAGTGGAACCAGATGCTGTGGTCATGGGGGTGACCAGGGAGACGGCCACATCCAACGCCCAGAATCAGAGGCACCCCCAGAGTCCTGGCGCACCTGGGAGCCCATGGCGTCGTAGTCCCGGGCACGGGTGAAGGAACGGCCCAGCTTGGAGATCTTGCCTGTGGCCTTGTCGATGGTGATCACATCCCTGGGGGCAGGAAGAGGCAGGGGGGTCGCTCGTAAGGCAGGAGGGGTCTGCGTGGTCCACCTCCCCGGCCTCCCAGCACAGCCCAACTGCTCACCCGGCCTGCACCTTGTCCTTGGTCAGTGACTCGATCATCTTGGTGCCCAGGTCGTAGATGGTCTCCATCTCCGTGGTCTTGAGGGTCAGCTTGCCCACCTTGGAGCCCTGCGAGGAGTGACAAGCTGGGGAGCTGGCTCAGAGCGCCCCGGTGCTGCCCTAAGGCACCCAGAATAATTTCCAGCCTTGCCCTGGCCTCTGCTGACATAGCCATTGGTGGCGAGGAGAGTGGGGACGCTGCTCATCGCCACAACACCACCATGACCCTGAGCGTGCACGTGCAGGCAACACCTGTCAGGGCAGCTTTCTACCCTCCGGCCACAGAGATGCCAGAGTCCATTCAAATAACAGCAAAACAAAAAATAGGGGACGCGCCCAGCGCAGAGGCCTAGTGGGTAAAGTCCTCGCCTTGCACACACTGGATCCCATTGGGCACCGGTTCATGTCCCAGCTGCTGCATTACTTCCCATGCAGCTCCCTGCCTGTGGCCTGGGAAAGTAGCCGAGGACGGCCCAAAGCCTTGGGACCCTGCACCCGCAAGAGAGCAGCAGATGAAAAATCTCTCCTGTATCTCCCTCCCTTTCTGTAACTCTGTCAATAAAGAATTAAATCTTTGGGTGGTTGCCAGGTTAGGTCTGTCTTCATCCTCAGAACCCCGATTCCAGCCACTGCGTACACACAGTGAGCTGTCCCAGGGCCTACCCGAGTCCTAGCGGCTGCTCCCTTCACGGTGAGTGCACTGAGAGGGGAAGTCTGGAGAACAGGGCGGGTGTGGGCCCTACCCTCTGCCAACACTGCGTGGTGGAGGAGACTGGAGAGGGGACGACCTTGGGACGTGGGGGTTAAAACTTCTAGCACCATTTTGGCCGCTGGTAGGTGCCAGGCCGGGTCCGTCTTCAATGCCCGTTGGCGTGTGTGAGAGCTCAATGGGATGTGGGACAGACTGGACTAGTCTGCTGCACACACTGGCAAGCACGGGAACCGGGGCCCCAGTGGGTGGGCCTGGTGGGGGTTATTGTGGGTCACTCCGACTAGGCTGCAGGTCACTCTGGTTTATGTGAGGGCTAAGTGCATACTGGGCAAAATCAGGCTGGACTCCAACACTCATTGGTTCCAATGGAAGACAGGGCTGGAAACAGAACCGACCCGGTAACTGCAACCACCAGCTGATGGGGGCGATGGACTGTGCCGGGCCCTGTGCCTGCCAGTACACACCAGAACCTGGTCTGGGAACACCTCAGACAAAGTTT